CTGCCTGTCTTAAAAGATGTTTGATCTTGGCTGCTGTGAGCATGTATGATACAAGAAATACATAAGAAAAGATTGCCATTGAGTTTCTTGTGTATATAGTCCCAGATACAGTGTGTCTGTGTCTGAAGTCAAGCATCCAAAACCAAAGGCACCCAAAGCTGCTTTCCAGAATGCACAAATCCTTGAGATGCAGCCCTTAGCCCTTATTGTCTGGTATTTTGAGTTCATTGTTTATGAAAAAATGGTAGTTTGAAATTAGGTGCAGCAAGTAGAAGCTTTTGCTTTCTTCACAATGATGCCTTTTTGCAGTTCTGAGTGGTCTGACTGCATTGCAAGCCTCATCAGTTCCCAGCATCCATAAACAATTGCTTTTGTCCCTAGAAGTGAAAAAAGATAGAAGAGGTGGAAACCCCAGGATAACAGGGTCTCTATTGAATTTTCTTGGCTCAGAGGAGCTGACGGGCCAAGGAAGCCAAGGTTTTAGAAATGTTTCAGACAGAGAAGATGGCAAGGGGTTGGTCACTACAGAAATATGCCAACTAGCATTTACTGTGCAATGGGCAGTGCCAGGCTGCTTTTGTTTAGTTCAGCCTAGTTCCAAACCAGGGGATGATTTGGGGTCTTTTCTCTGTGCCGCTTCTCACGGTGGATGTAGAATCTGCATTCAGAGCAATTACTGTGCTGCAGCCAGTGGTATCGATTTGTGAGGCTCTCAAGTGCAGATAACTACTTAGCAGGCTTGATAGTGATTAAAATTTTAGGAAGCAACTTTGTAATAGGACCGTGGGGGTCCTAAATTTTTCAAAATGTAAGCATCTTCAGTGTAAAGGCAGTGGGGTTACTGCCTTGCACTCTCTTTGGCTTTTCTAAATCCTCCTTTTCCCAAAAGATTTTTTTTTTCTTTTTCTTTTCCTTTTTCTTTTTTCAAAACATCCAGACAATTATACCCACAAAACACTTAAAGTTAATCACAAAAATACAATAGGCACCATTCAACAGAAAGCGTTGCAAGGATATCCCTGGTGTCCTTAAGTTTCTGGGAGTATTACAGAAAGCCTGAGATTAAAGGGACGGACAAAGGACATGCTGGCATTTTACCACAAAGTGAAAACATAGAATGAGGCATGAAGAAAAGTTTGTGGGTATATGAGTGTTTGGTCTTTGAGAGTAGATGCTGAAAGGGAAGAATGGATTTGAGAAATATGAGAAGAAAGCACTGCCAGCATAGAGAACAGAAGTTGCTCAGAATAGGGAATGGGACATTTGGGACTATTGTTTATTCTTAGAGAGATTTCTGAGAGAAGTCAGTAGCAGAGGGGGTGGGTCCCAGAATGTTGTTGATCTGTTCTTTGTAGGGTGCTTGGTTTATCAGCTGTTGAGCACACAGCACTGTTCCAAGCCTACCTTGGGAAGCAATGCATTGCCCATGTTGCAATGACTGTGTGCACACAAGATAATGAGGTACAGTGGGCACTTGCATTAAGTTACAAACACTGAGTTGGAGGCTTTGGTGCTCTCTTGGGCCTGTGTAGTTTCCTTCTTCCACATGTGAAGCTTGGTTTTTTTTTGATCATTCTAGCTTTGGTTTAAGAACCTTCCAGTCTGGTCAGAAATGGAATTTCTTTGTAATCAGTTATTCATTCTTTTTCATATTGACACCATGGGTTTAAAACTGTTACTTAATTCTCAGTCTTGCAGAAGTACATTGACTTTCTCAGCTTCCAAGGATAATGCTTTTGGTTTTTTCCCCGGCCATGAAGGAGACAAGAAAACCCAGTGATAGAATAGCTGGATGTTTGTGTAGTGTTGTGATTGATTTGGTTGGCATACTAAAAATTCAAGAATTCTGATATACATCCTACAGTTCCTAGCACCTTTTTTCCAGTAGATGCTTTAGGAACAGATTGTCCTACGGATGTGAAAGGATATGTCTGTCTTCCTAGAGAGAGCGTGTTCTCAGGGGCTGTACAACCAAAAGCACAATATTTATCTCCTGTATATGCTCACTGTGGTCAATATTACATTTCTGAATGTCTCCTAGGCTTTTATATGTCCTAGAGTAAACAATAAGGCTGATGTAAGCCATATAAAACATTTCTCAGAAAGAGGACTGCTCAGGGCATTCAATTACCCCTTTAATTGCAATCCATATTTCATCTGTAATTTGTGTTTTTAAAATTAGATATTAAACATATTTCAGGTCTGTTGTGTTTCCTACTTTGGGACCTTTATGTGATCACATGTGGGTGTCTGTAGTGTGGGTGTCCAGACATGTTAAATTCAATGGAGAGAAACAGGCCTTTCTAGGATGAATTATCACAAAGTCATATCTAACACTGTTCAGCTGATCCAGAGTGAAAACTGCCTGTTTCATCTCTCTGCCTGCAAAGAGAGCTGGGTGTGATTAGTTCAGAGTTAAGTATCTGTGATGTACAGCTGGGTAAGATGAATATTACTTTATGTGGCTTTTCAGGTGGTATGGAGAGATGTATAAAGAAATATCCTAGGGCTTCCATGGAACAAGATAGCTTGATCCAAAAAAATGTGACATTACAAAAATGCTGGTCAGCAAGCTCTCAGCAGAATCCAGATGGAAGTGATATGTTTCTGGCTGTCAGCTCTGTTCAGTTAATAATGATTTGAGCAGATGTGTATTTGTATTTTTCTTGTTCTTCACAACTGATTTTTCATGTTGGCATTTAATATTATGGGCCTGACCACGGCCTTGTGCTGTCACAAATAAAGTCAGTTGTATATCAAAGCAATGAAATGTGTGTTTACTAATGGAGGGAGAAAGATCTGATAGATAGGAAGTCATGGATATGGCTCTTGACTATACCTCAGATGTCCTATTTGACTTTAGGAATTTCCTCCTCTGGACCCTACTTTTCATTTTTGTCATCGCATTTCTAAGTTGCAGGGGTTAGGAGACATCAGAAGAAGGAAGTCCTGGAGGTTTGTCACCAGCTGTGTTTCAGCTGGCCTTGTTCTGTACCCTCTTGGGACAATTGCTGGCTTAATTCTACCTTGAATTGAAGCTCCTTCAGTCCCAATACTGGCTGAGACTAAGTAATATGCAGGTGAATACTTTCAGGGCTTGAGGGGTCCAGATCTTTATATGCTGCTCTTAAGGCACCTAAAAGTTTGATGTAAATTGTGGCTCATGAAATTGGCTGTCTTTGCCTGAGAAGATGCAAAAGGTGTTTCTCTTGGGGTTAGAATAACACTGTGAGGAGGAAATTCACAAAACACCTGAGTGTAGACTCAAGTGCTTTGCTGGATGAGCACCATTGTTGCACTCTTGAGAGACAAAATATTCAAATTTGTGGATTCTATTCCTTGTTTCTTTGGAGAGGTCACATCCCCATGGAGGTGTGTGAGATCAGGAGGAGGAATGGACTGACAGAGCTGTACTATGTCTTCTGCAATAGCCCAGTTCCAGGTGGGCTATTCCAATATTCCAGTTCCAGTATTTAAATCCCACTTAAATAAACAAAAATAAAAAGGAGTTATGCTAGGTTTGTCCTTCTGCAGATTTTTTAGAGCTGTTTGTCACTGGCATCTGTCTATCTTGAACTGAATTGTAATGAGCAGGCCCCACATTTTGGCCCTAAATCTGCTGATCATAGCAGGCCTAATAAAAATTCCCTAAGAGAGTGCTTCCTTCCCCCCTCACTTGGTGCCAATTATCAGGAAGCAGAGATTTTAAGTGGAAGTTGAATGTTTAAGGAAGTAACACCTTGCCATAAACTTTATTAAAAATGGAGAAGAGGTAAAAGCAATGCTGGTTCAGAGTATTTTCTGAACTTCAGTCCCCAGCAAAGGAGAATAAAACCTTTTCTAGCTAGTGAGTTGCTATATATTTTGTCAAGCAAAGGTAAGGATTAATCAGGACACAGCCTTGTTAACATTTTTATAATAGTTATTAGTTAAATCACATGATGATTAAGTACTGGAGGTGCCTCTGATTGCAGTCAGTGGGAACTGAATTAAGGTCTAAATCACTGTTTGAATCTCTCTTCTGATTTCCTGAAAAATAATGAGGGTTTGAAGAGAACATCTAATTTTTCTATCACTGGAAATGAATGTGTGTCTTCCCTCATGCTTCTATTAACCAGGAGGTCAGGCAGCTGACAAGAAACTGGTTGTTTAATGCTCAGCTTTAATCCAGGATTGTGCCTTGGGTGATAGGATTGAGACCAGAAACAAGGCAGATGGTCAGAGATGGTGCTGAGCAGCTCTACAGTGGGATTGGCACATAGAGCAGTTGTGCATCTTTCAGGCTGTCCATCAAACCTCTGCCCCTTTGGAATCTTCCAGGGAATTGATGAGGCCACCAGTGCCAGTCCAGGGGAACCTCAACAATGATTTTTAATTCCATAAACTCCTTATCTGCAGTGCTCAATGTCTTTACTTTGTTACTTGTTAATTCAGAGGGAACAAACAGTGATTTTCAATGTGACACTTTTATTAATGGAATACTGTTTTTATTAGATCAGAAGTGATAAAATGTCTCAGGATAAAATGAGGTTTTAAAACTTCTTAATTAATGAGGGAACATTGATCATTAAGAGTGTCAATTAAGCAAATGTGCATAAAATGTCCAATATAAAGGAACAGCTATAATTAGTATGCTGGCAAATACTATTATCCCATCAATTAAAGTCTTCTGTATTCCACCCTGAACTGAAATGCATCCTTCTGACCAAACAAGGAGGAACATCAAAATTTCAAGTGCCAATGAGAACAGGAATGGGTCTCCAGGTGGAAAGAAGTGAAGGGGTTAGAAATAAAGGACTCATAAGTACAATGGCATTTATTAGATAAAATAGTAGAATTTCTTTAAAATATTTAAGCTCATTTTGGGGAAAACTCCAAAATTCTTTCAAAATTATCAGTTCTTATTTGTGAGTATGATTTTTACTCCTTTGAAAGCAATATCTCAGCCTTTCATGGTACATGTTGTTTTCAATGCCTTTGTCTCCATCTGCCTTTTACAGGTCTATGATGGGGAATGGCAGAGAGCCTGACCTCGTGCACCTGGAGGCAAGGACAGTGGATGGTCGTAAGTACATCAGCTTCTAAATATTGTGGTATTCTGGGCTCTCCTCATATTCTTGTAACCACACAATACAACAGTAGAAATCTCACTTCTTTTAGTGATTCACTTATGTAGTACAAGGAGTTTGGCTGTTCCAATTTAGGTCTGTCAGAAGAGAAGCCTTTCCAGCAAGGCAAAAAGTTGGGTTAACCAGGCTGTGAAAGGAACTGGGGCCATGGTAAGGAGGAATAGGTGATAAGCAGTAACTGGAGTTACTACACACAACACTTTTATTTCTTCTTACATGGTTTTTATTGATGGGAACATGACACTGAAGAGAAGTTCCTGGGTCATGAAGTCTAGCTGCTGTTTGTTCACACAGTACATAGCATTACCTTGTCCATAGCTTCATAGTTTTAGCAGACCTGGGATACTCTGCCTTAGGTACTACCTCTGCAATGACCCAATTAGAAACCTTTTAATGACCAGTCTGAGTGTGCTCTTCACTGTTACTGCATGTCCTGTCATTGTCCTTCACTTTCATCAGCTCCTTTCCCTCCCTGCTTTGCCTCTTGAGGTGTTTTTTGTTGTTTTTTTTGGGTTTTTTTTCCCTATTCCAGGAGCCTCCTTTACCTGCAACTCCAAAATATTTTCCTAATTGGCTGTAAATTCTCTCAGGCACACTCAGCCCCCTGCTGGCCTTTTCTCCTCCCATCCAGGCTTTGTCAGGTTTATCTTTGAGCTCCACTGCCTTTGCAGATCTTTCTCCATGGATTTCTTTTCCACAACATTGAATTGCCTCAGGCAGGCATCACAGTGAATGCCCAGCTGCCAGAGATCCAGTCATTTTAATTCCATATTGTTTCCTCAGTAAATAGCAGTTTTCCTGCAACGTAACAGGAAGGTTTATACTATTTGCAGTACAGAAGTATTTATAATGCCTTCAATTACTTACTTTTTAAATTGATAAGGTTCCCCCTTGAATTGTACCCTCAGATGCAGTGGTGCTACTTAAAATGTGCATTTTGTCATTGGAAAATTAAAAAAATATCTGAAAATTTAATTGTAAGGTATTCTGCTTTTTAACTTAGGAAATTTAACTTGAAAGAGAACTTTTTGGATTATGACTTTTGATAGTTGCAATAGAAACCATAAAGTTTTAAAGGTCTTTTCATTTCAAGATATGTAGGATTAGTGACAGTGAAAGAATGTATTATCTCTATTTCTTATAATTTGTGATCTATGATTATTATTTCTCCTCTCAATTTCTCTTACTTGATGTGGCAGCAAGGCTGGGAACATGAAGCTTTCTATTTCTTGGGGCATGCTAAAAGGAAATATTCCAACAGGGCAGTGTCCATTTCAGCACAAAACACTGCTGTTAAAGTCATTAAAAACTTGAGGTCATTGAGATGAAGCACTACACATGATGTTTAGGGAGTTGTATTCTGGTGATGTATTTGAGGGATATTCATCTCCCAGTGGGCAGAGAACAACCTGAGTACAGGGCTCTCCTTGCTAGAGCACCAGTAACTCTCTGTCTGCTCTCTGATTATGGTCTGTCAGAGCACTTAATTTATTGTGCTTATGTACATAATGTAAAATGTTTGCAAGGACCAAAACAAGAGTTCCTCAGCAGGCATAAACCAGTACAACTTCAGTGGCATTGATTTACAGCTGCTGAGGATCTGGCTAGCAACCTTGTTCTTGAGGGCGCCTTCTCTCTACTTTTTTCTTTCTTTGTTCTTCCTCTTGGGATCCAGAAAAAATGTGGACTCCTGAACACACTGTGTCTCATCAAAGTAGGGTGCAGGTAATGATGAGCAAGCTGAGTACAGCCTGCTCAATTTATTTCTATTTGTGGAGACAGATCTGCAGGGCTAATTGCTGCCTTTTATGGTTTTCATCCTGTTGTGTAAGTTATGGAGAGCACCATGCAAATTTTCATCTTGTGGAATGTGATGCTATTGTTTGTTTTTCAAAGGCTTCAGGCCCAATCCATATCAATCTGGGGCTGAAAGCATGGTGGTAAAACTGATTTTTCTGGTTGGAAGAAGTTCATGTGAATGTTATCTCACATTTCCATTTGTACGCTTGGGTGTCCCTGGTGTTTTGCTTTGATTTTGGAACATGATCAAAGACAAGCCAGCAAAGTCAGCAGGAACTGTGATTTTTTTTCTTTCTTTTTTTTTGGTCTGGCTTCAGGGCAACACCCCAGTAAGACAATTAATCCCCTCTGGTTCTTAATCACACGATAAGCTTCTCTTTGTTACATTCAGCACCACAACCAGCGGGCAGGGTGATGGTGGAAGTTAAATCTAGGTTTGCTCAAATGCAACCTCAAGTGCTTTCAGAAGGTATAAACTTAATGACACATAGGGGTTCAGGTTTGTGAAGAATACACAAGATCCTAAAATTAACAGGCTTATCTGATTTGAGCTTGGTAGGGTTATCCCAGTAAGGCCTGATTCCAGCTAATTAAATGGGAGGTAATTTTTATTCAGGTAGTGCCTACTGAGAAATCCAGACTGTTGGTGAAAATTAGAAAGATGGATTCCTACAAGGCATTTGGAGACTAACTGGGTACCCACTGGCCCTCCAGAGAATGGCAAAACTGACTCAGGGGATGTCTGAATGACAGTTTCTATAGACAGTAAAACAGTAAAACAACTATTACATTTATGAGGCATGCCTTTGCTTTTGTAGATAAGAGACCAATTTATTTAAAGTTTTTAATTTTTTTTAAAGTGTGGATGAAAGAAGCTAAGGGGTTTTCTAATGTGCTGGCAAAGATTTAGAGAGCTCCTGATATTTAAAAAGTAGTTTTGTTTCCTTTGCTTTTCTTCTGCTGTCCTGATTTACATAGCAGCTTTTCCTACTGAAAGATAATTTAGGTGCTGCTGTGATGCAGGTTAAGACCAAAGTCTCACCTGGGGCCAGCAGGCGTGTTCTGCTTGCTGATCCACAGGAACTGAGCATCTGGCCAAAAGTGCCTGAATCACAAACTTGCACTAGTACTTTAATTTCTGTTTTCACAGGAAATTGCTGGGAAGAATAAAACAATCACTGTTGTGGAAAAAATGAGTAGGCAGCCTAGCCTGGCAGTCTTTTCCTAATGTAGCTACAGTGGTGAATTAATTCCTGTAGTGCCCTAAACCTGTGCTGTGATTTTTTTTTTCCTTTCCTGGTTGTGATTAGTTTTTTTCCTGATCATGATTAGTATTTGTCCTGGAGAATGACATCTGTTAGTTTCTTTCATTATAGTTTTATGCCAGAAATGGTGGAGGAAATACTTTCCTGTGTAAAGAAAGATTTCTGATGCTGACGTGCAATGAAGAAAGAGTAGCAGCAGGATAAAACCAGATTTGTGAGTAGTTAGTAAATGGGATGGTTTCGTTTCACTGATCTTCATTACTGGTTAATTGCTTTGCAGTTGCTGAGTCCTGGAGAGTTGTGAGCATATTCCCATACCATGCATGTTTCACAAATCAACATTCAGACCAGATGGAAGTGGATAAAGAACAGTCATTTCTTGTGTTTCTCAAAAAAAAAAAAAGATTAAAGTACAGGAGAACATATATTTAAACTGTGGAATTCATTGCCATGGAGGTTGTGAATGCTGAAGATGTACCTGCACTGCTAAGGCAACCTAGGCTTGTTTTATTAGTCACTGAGGGAGAGGGGCTACAGGCCTGGGTCTTTCAGTGACATAAGTCACTACCATGTTCTTATGGGTCATTAGTTACAGGATGCCAGTCATGCTTCAAAAGCAGAAACTGTCCCTAATGTCTGAGTTGCTCAGTAATGAGCTGGGATGCTCCACAGAAAATCTGTGAGAAAAACACATCATTTACTACATTGTATAAAACTCCTGATTTGTCCCCAGTGGGTTAATTGATAGAGGAAAAGACACATTCCTCAGTGAACTAAAGACAAGAAAAATATAAGTTATGCATTTGCAGAGTAGAGTGACCATTTTCTCTGACTCTCCCTGTGATCTGAAAGGGTTTTGAGAAGACATAACTGCAAGCTTACACTAAGAAGCAGTGGATGTCAGGGTTTGATATTTAATCCAAAAAAAGCACTTGTCAACAAAATATCCTGAAGAAAGTCACACTGCTTTAGGAAGGGATCTAAAACTCTCCTGTTTACTTTTTCAGAGGCCAACCAGCCTCCAGTAACCACCAATAACCTTCCTTCTCCACCAGCTGAGCCGAGAAATGTCTCTGGGACTGGTTGGATCTGTTTACATTGAGAACATACGCACATGGTGCTCAAGATAAATGGAAAAAACTAAAATATTTCATGACACAGCGTCCCCCTGGCTCTTAACATTTTCTGTGTTAGCTTTTGCAATTCTCTTTCACCACCAAAACAGATCAATTTTGTCAGAGATTTCCCTTACAAGATGTCTCTTCCGTTGTGTTCTGTGACTTTTCTTGCTTCCTCTTTAGAAATAGCTGCTGTTCCCTGAGAAGATTCCTACTCTGGGTGTCTAAACCTGTCAAAAATGAATGCATCTGGGGGTGTAAGAGCTGGGAGTTGCTATGTTCTTCTCTCCAGGCACAGTGTGACTTTGTTGTTGTATATTAAAAACAGCAGCTGTTGTTGGAGGTGAGGGTTCTGGAAATGAAAAGCATAATGTCCTAATTACCTATGGCAGGGAAAACATCTGTGCGAGAAAACTAATGAAATTAATTCCAGAGCTTAGCAACTGAATACATTAATTGACATTAATTAATGCTAAATTACAAACCTCTGCCAATGAAGTCACATGAAATGTCCGCGAGAATGAAATGGAAAAAATCCTTGAGTTAATGTGAACACAGAAAATCTTCCCCTAGGAAAAAAAGTGAGAACCAGGCACTGCAAGAAGCCTGCTTTTCCTTCTTTCTGTCTCCTGTAGCAAAAGGAGCTTTTCCTGTTGTGCACATCTCAGTGTTTGGCTGTTTGGGAGATTAGCTTAAGCAATTTCAGTGCTCTGCCCTTTAGTAGTTATTACTGGCATTTTAGAATTGAAGCCATGGAGAATTGCACTGTAAAAGTTCACAGGAATTGCCTTGGTAAATCTTCATCAATGATACAATCACTGCTGCACAGACTCCTGTGATCACAGCAGAAATAGGGATAGTCCCCATTCCTCCATTAAAGCACAATCCAAAAAACCTCAGTCTCCTCTAATGGATGTCAACCTGGCCTGCTCTTTAAAATCTCTTGTGGAGGAGATTCCTTAATCCCCCAGACTTTTTACAGCTCAGGTGGCAGTATAGGACCATTTCAACTGAGGCTGCTTTGCTGAAGCCCAGGATTGGCACATATTTCACCCAGGAACTTTGTTGTGGCCGAGTGGGAGACCCCTCCTGGAGTTCTGTGTGCAGCTCTGGAGCCCTCAGCACAGTAGAGCCATGGACCTGTTGGAGCAAGTCCAGAGGAGGCCACAAAGATGATCAAGGGTTGAAACATGTCTGCATGTGAAGGCTGACACAGCTGGGCTTGCTCAGCCTGGAGAAGAGAAGGGTCCAAGGAGACCTTATTGTGACCTTTCAGCACTGTTAGGACAAGGAGGGGACGTGCTGACCACACAGCACTCTCAGGTGGTGGAGAGACTGTGTCCCCCTGTCCCCCTTTTCCTGGCTGCAGAGGAGCAGAGGGCTGAAAGGCTCTGAAAGGGAACTTTTCTGAGCTCACAAGAATGAGCAGGCTGGGAATTATGTCGTTCCCTGCCCTCTCGTGGCTAATGTGGAAAAAATCATGTCCCTCTGAAGGGAAATACATTTCGATCATGCTGCCCAGGCTGTGCTCATTAATGCTTTGCAGTGAGCTGCAAAAGCATAAAATGTTATAAACAGCAGCAACTAATAATACATAGCACTTAGTATATTCCAAGAACCCTGCAAATGCCGGAGAAAAAGAATCATCCTTCATTGAACTTTCCTGAAGGTTCGTTACCTTGCGTGTCTGTTTCCAACAGAAGTCAACAGCCCTTAGAAGCAAGGAAAGAAATGTCAGCTGATAGATTTTAATTAAAACCAAGATTAAATACAAGATGGTAAAATTCCAGCCATTTCTATTTCAGTGTAAAATGCTATTTCTCTGATCTCAAGGTGGTAATTATATCAAAGAAGGGGCTGTGTCTCTCCAAGGAAAATGATTAGAAGTACTTCTAACATTAAATGCAATGTAGTGTTTCTATCATGTAAGTACTAATGTTAAAAAGCCAAAATTGTTATTTGTGTGGATCAGGTTTGTCATAAAACAAAGTGCAAATTCATAATGAATCTGGAAGAGTCCAAACAGAGTACTGAGAATCTGGTTCTGTATTCTAGGGTAAATTGTCCCCATGAAGAAATTCAAATTGTTTTTCCTCAGGTGACAGATTATGAGATTGGCACCTTGCATTGCTTCAGAAGAGGAGGTGGGGACATCCCACATAGTGACAGTGGATGAGATGGCTGGCATGGCTGTGAGATGGATGGCTGCATTTAGCCATTTAATTTGAAGCTGCTAAGACTTCTAGTTACAAGAGAGTGTGGAATGATTGCCCAGGTCTGCCAGAGTGCATCTACCTATGCTGTCACCAGCAAAGTAGGTAAAAGCCCTGAACAGGTGTTGGTCTTAAGTACTTTCCAAGTTGATCTGAATACTCTACAGAGTGTAAGTGCTGTAGGAAATACAGAGATGCATCATAGAAGGTTCTCCCTTGGTAAAAATGCATGGCTCTGACATCTGATCTAGGGCAGAATGAAAGAAATAATGGGAGGTTGAGGCAGGTAAAGAAGGAAGGCTATTAAAGGAAGAAAGTAATCAAGGATTTATGAAGGATGTAGGGGAAAGAAGGGTTGTGTGGTGTTGAATGGATGGTGTCAATTCACTTCACATGGATCTGGGAAGCAAAAGTGCCACCTCAGCAAACAGGTATATGACAGTAGGAAGAATCTGCAATCAGGGTCTCAAGTGTATCATTTTTGTTCTTTTCCTTTCAGATGCTCAGTACATCACCTGCAAGATGCAGAACTGCAGTGAAGCCACTCGCAGCAAACCCTTTCCAGGCTACATTGACCATAACTCCCTGATCGTCCAGGGGGATTATGTCTTTGTTCAGGTGCAGAACACCCTCCTCTCTTATGTATTCCTCTACTTTATATTATATTATTCTGTCTTCTATTAGTTTTTCTTGCATTCCTTTGCATGTGTGTGCATGTGTGTTAGTTTGCAACTGCTCAGACAACACTGGATCCATAAAGGCCCTGAGTGGGTTGGAGGAGTTTGTTACAATGCTAACTGTGTTCCTTTAAGCTCTAGTTTCCTGTTGCTGTAGGGCTGCAGAGTTCCTGCCTGAAGTATGTTCTCTGTGTGCTGGAGTGCTCTGTGCCACTCCTTGCAATCTCATCAGCACTCTGGAATTACAGCTTTTACCCCCCAGCTGGAAGTGTGTGTCACTCACCTGCTATTACAGGGGAGTAGACCAAAGCTTTTTGAGTGTAAGAGGGAAATAAGAAAGAAGGGAGGGTGTCGGAGAAAGCACCAAAGGAGTAATCAGGCTTTATTGTTATGCCTCAGTTGTGATTATAGTGAAATGGCAGAAGATGGGATGTGCTCAGCCAGGCTGTGTTCCAGGTGAGAGCTGGTGAATAGATTTGAACCACCGTGGGTTTCATTAGGCTGCTGCCAGTGTCCATTTAATATCAGCTGAAGAGGAGAAAAATAACAACAGAATTGTAGGGAATGTGGAGGTGAGCTGGAGATCACTAGCACTAAGCTGGGCTTCCAGGCAGTTTGTATTTTAGCATGCTTGTGAGTGGAGGGAAGAGAGAGAATTTATATTTTACATTGGGTTAGTTGATTGCTAATTGGCTTCAGTTAATGAACTCAGTCTTAAACAACAGTCTAAATAATCCACAAATAAATCTGGCATGTATGCTTCAGAACAGCTTTTGTGCCTACTGTCTGAGGCAAAAGGGAAATGTTTATGAGGCAGGGAAAACAGGGGTGTGTTTCACTGTTCAGCCACACTCTCTCACTCCAGAGTGGCTCTGTGTTTGTGCCTTGACTGACACAGGAGCTGGAGTGTTTCTCTTTAGCCCTCCTGGCTGATGCTGGAGCTGGTGTTACCCTTCTGTTCTTCAAAGGAGGAATGACCCTATGCCAGGCTGTGTATGCTTGGAGGAATGGATGAACACCCTCCTTCTGGCCTTCCCTTCTTTCCTTGATCTCCATTTGGCTTTTCTGCAACTAAGCCATTTGGAATTAATTAGTAGGCTTAAAAGCAGTAGGATAAAGGAATGGGAGTTTATTTTCCCACTAAACTTGTTCTATTTACAAACTCACACTCTCTCATTAAAAAATATTTCTGGCCTTCCTTCCCCTAACTTTTGCCCAGTTCCCTTAAAAAAATGTTGAAGAGCTTTAAAATGAGAAATAGTCCTTATTTTACTTAATCTGGTATGAACCTGGCCTCTGTGTATCTTGCATTTTAAACTACTGCAGTGCATTTTAAAACACTTACTACTAAAGAAAAGTCTTGATAAGCTCAGGTATCAAGCAATTAAAGCAAAGTTCTGCACGGAGAATCCCTTGGAATATTTGTTCTTCAGTATCTTTCATCCAAGGATTTCAAAGTACTTTACAAACATTGATTATACTTCAGCAGCACTGGAAGCCAGAAAAAATTGACAGCTTTTTTCTTTCTTTTTTCCCTCCTTTAATAGGTGGTAGAAAATGATACCTCACATTGCTCTAACCCAGCATTTTCAAGATCTGCCATCAGTATTTATGCACTTAAATATATGACCAGATTCACAAAAATACCAAATCGACCGAGCTTTTCCTGCCCTCCCTACCTGTGAATATTTAGCTGGTCTCGTAGCAGATACCTATGATGGCTTGTCCAGGGCCACACAGGAACCAAAGCTGGAAGCAGAAATAAAAATCAAGCCTCATGTCTGCCAATCTGCTGGTGTAATCAACAGCCTACAGATAGCAAAGAACAGACAGAGAGTGTTCTGTAAGGCACAGGAGAGCTCTGCTATCAGGAGGTGACACAATGGCCCAGCTGAAGTCAAGACTTCACTATTCACAAGTTTTCACACAAGATTCTAGCCTTTGTTTCTCTTTGCTGAAAATGGGATTCCTCTTGCTTTCTTTTTCAGCCCCTGTCAGTTGGATCAATGTTTATTCCTCAGCTGTAACAGCGCTGCAGTTTAAGCTATTGCCACCACACAGTGGTATTTCTCTTAACAGCTTTTGCTTGATATTCTTTCTGGTAAAAAACAAAACAAAACAAAAACAACAAACAAACAAAGAAAGAAAAAAAAAACCAAAAAAAAAAAACCAACCTGATGATAACTTTCCTGCTTCTCTCATAGCTGACATCAGGAGGAAGACCACATTATTACGTTTCTTATAGGAGAAGCCCGTTTGCACAGATGAAGCTGCCAAAGTACTCCCTGCCCAAGGTAAGTTGCTGCTGCTAGAGTCCCCATATGAGCCTACAGGTATTTGGGTTGCACAGAAGATCCTGAGTCCTACACAAGTAACTGCAAGATGGTATGCAGTGAGTGAAAACAGTGTTCTTCCTTAACAGAACTTTTGCAAGCAAGAAAGGATTAAAACCAAAAGTCAGCGCTTTGGCTAGTCAAGGACATGAGCATGAAATGTAGACAGATACCACAGCCCACATCAATTACCATTTCTATATGTCTTTATGCTTAATTAATTAAGTTTTGGAGGGGATTCTCTCTCTCTCTTTTTGTTTTTTTTTTTTGGTCTTAAAATTCCCCTCTCCTGTCACTGTCTTGTATGGGTTGCTTTTTGTGCTTTGCCTCATTAGTAGATTTTAATGGGAACCAAGCAGAAAGATGTCTCTGTGTGCCTGCTCTGTCTCCAGACTAATTAACAATGGTGAATTAGCATTGGAGATTGAAAGGGTATTTCTGCCTTCTAAAGCTGAATTTTTTGAAAGACCTGTATAAAATGTTAGCTTCATTTTGAAGAAACCACCAATTTGTAGCTGGTATCCTAATGGGTTCTTAACAAAGACAGAGGACTTTTTTTTTTGGCCTTTTCATTCTTGATATAATCTGTCTTAAATGAGATTTAAGCTGAAAGGTAGCAAATGATTTTATGGATTCTATATGAGGTCTAACATCAGAAGACAAATGCATTCCCAGAAACTAAGCAGGGATTGTCAAAAGAAAAAAGAAAAGAAAAAGCAAGGTCAGATTTTGTGGTAGAAATGTTCAAAGGGATAACTTGGCTAATTTCATGACTGGCTGTCTTTGATTCCTCAATCCAACAGACTTGTTTATAGTGGATTGACTGGGTGGCCTTCATTTAAACAGACTGCAGTTCAAACCCAGCCCTTTGGTGCCTCAGCTTCCCTAGGCTGCTGTTGGAGCCTTTGCTCCTGTTCACAGCACTGGAAACCAGCTTGCAGGACAGTGAGGACCTCACCAGAAGCCATGAGATCTTAGCTCTTGCACAGGAGATCTGTGGTCTGTCTCAAAATTTTCAGCCACATTTTAAGATACTTTGAAACTTCCTGCCCAAGCAAGTGAAAATACTCTGTAAATTCACATCAGATTTAAATAGGTGTCATTTGAAAGAGCTCTTAGCAACAGAGTTGCATTTTAGCATGATTATTGTAAAAGCCAAATAAAAATTTTTATTTACAGCCAATTCAGACCATCTGTAGAGACACTCTTTTCTTTAAACTTATTTTTTCCTTTAGCCCACACTTAAGTTTTGTTCACCTTCTCAAAGACTTCACTGGAAACCCAGGGAAAATGTGCTAGAGTTAAATTACAATGTGTTCCTGAAAACAGGAATTGGAGCAATATATTCATGTTATTTGACCCAAAGAAAGATGCTTTGTCACAATCTCAGAATATCTTCAAAGTCTGGAGAGCTGTATTTGGCTTGGAAGGAGCTGCAGTGGAACTGTGGCTGTCTAGGAGGCTGCCATCAAAGCAAAATAGTCACTTCTATGAAAAATGCACAGAGAGTTATATTATTCAAGGAATTGGAACATACAGCTTCTTTTATGCCCAAATTCTCTTTCATCTCCTTCAGCCTAAGAAAGAGGGGCCAAGTATGGTAAACAGTACTAAGTGACTTCTGGAATTGAAGATGGAAATATCAAGCTTTTTGTGTCTGTGTGTCACTCCTCCTGAGCTGGAGGCAGGCAGCCTTGGCAGGTGATGCTGCTGCTCAGGCAGGATGGCCTACAGCAAATCAAACTAAAATATTATTCTTGTTGGCATTAGCAGCCTTGTAGCTACTTTGATCAAAAGCCTAAATAAATAAACTTGAAAATCTGTTCCATTCAAGCAGATGCCTGCATATGTGCATACAGGTTGTGTTAATCCTGTAAATAGCCTTTATTGAGACCTCTTAATTGCTGCAGTGATGTTGATCTGTGATGCTGCCTGTTCTGTACCACAACGCTACAATATGGGCTGTGTCACACACTGTAGTGCACACAGGGGGCATTTACTCCAGTTTATACCAATGCACTAGGCAGACATTTGAGAATATTGAAGCAAGTCAAGCAGTTTCTCTTTTAAAACACCTGTCTTAACTGGTATTGGGTTGCATAGTGATGGAATGGGTGCATCTGGTACCTCTGTTTTAAATTCATCCCCTGCTTTCAACCTCAGGATGTACATCCTGATGGAAGAAGAAATAACAAAAATGAATAAATAAGAATACAGACCTTAAATATAGACCTTAAAAGAGCTGACAGCCCAGTAATTTTACAGAAGGCAGAGGCAAGAGCCAGCATCTTCACAGACATTTCACAGAATATTCTGAGTTGGAGGGGACCCACAAGGATTATCAAGTCCAACTCTTAAGTAAAGGACCCACTGGGGAGTGATCCCACAACCTTGTTGTTATTATCCCTATGCTCTGACCAACTGAGCTGGCAGAATAAAACTGGCATTACACATCCCTACTTACCATGCCAGGAAAAAAAGTTCCCTGACCAAGTGCAAAAGGGGCAATTGTTCAGTAATTCAGAAAGCCTTGGCTTTCAGTCATTTGAGGAGACACCTGATCAAACCCATGCACAGCATCATGTGTTACTTTTGTCTTTGAAAAGGCAAAAGGGACAGATAGTAGAACTGCATATTAATGTACTTCCAGTATGTTCTGGAACATAGAGAAAAAAGCTCAGGCTCTCAGTAGACAAATGCAAGGGGAGCCCCTAAAGGTGATGATGACTGTTTGAGACAGGTGTCTTGCTTCACATTCCTGTCCTCTTCCATCTCTGTAAGGAGCTTGTGCTATATCAAGATGAAGGCTGTCTTATTATTATTCCTTATTTTATTATTATTCCTTATAATATTATTATTCCTCCCCCCCAAGAAATTAATCCCCATTCTGAAAAAAAACCATACATAATACGATATGCTGATTAATTTTAATTTTCCCAGTGTGGAAATGAAGAAATTCCAGATGCTGGTCCAAGATCTGTTTGATGCCCATTTACTAATCCTTTCCTATCAAAGCTGTGCATCATTGCTGCATCTATTGGACAAGGCCATATTAAGAGGAATAGTTAATTTATCCCCAAAGGCACACAGTTGGAATGCTATCTTTTTTGACTTTCTGCATTACGTATATTATGCCAATTCTAACTCAGTCTCTGCTTCCCTAGGCTTAAATTACTTAAGCCTTACTGGAATCTTCTTTAGACTTCCATCTTACAGCATGCTCTGATCAAATGCAGGAAGCATCTATTGAATAAATTAACTCATTTGCTTCTTCAGCACTTGTAAAATTGTCTTTAGTTTTCTCTGGTGTTGATTAAAGTATCTTTTTACCCATCTCCCCCTGTTTTTACAAAACTATTGAATGAAGTGGTAAGGTAATGAAAAAGTACATTCACGAGGCAAAGCAAGTTTTAGTTTCTGTCTATGTTTAAATGCAGAAGGCTGCCCATGTGTACCCATATGCAGAAATTAACACTTGTGATTAGAGCTGTGCTAGCCAATGTTGCCTGGAGCACACTGGGAACACCTGCTGGTGTAGATCTACCAGCAGATTGAACCAGGATGACAGTCTGAAAAGAGGAGCCACAGACAAACAGCTGTGGCTGTAACTCCTCCTGGCACAGCTGGAGCTCAGAGGATGTCTGTTCACCACCAAAATTAGTAGGACTCAGTGGGACTTACATTACTTTTCCTATTGCCTCGGGAATTAAGCCAATCTGTTCCTTCACAAATTGAGCCCATCTTCTGGGACATGATTTTCTCCAGTGCAAAGAAGAAAGTAAATCAAGTGCATATTCATGCACTCTGTATTCAGATCTGGATCTGGATGAACAAGCAACTGTTGTGAATCGTTACTCCATGGTGAATCCACTTTCAAATTTATAGATCAAATTTCTTCATTATATTACTTTTTTATTTTTAAATTACAAGACTTCATCTGGAAGTATTAATCCTCCCTAAAAAGCCACCAGACACTCAATTTTCAAAGACTATTATTAGCAGAAGGGAGAAGGAGCATCTGCTTCCAAAGAGTATATTTTCTGATAAAGTTCTCGGTTTTGCATATAGAAAGTCCTGGCTGAGATTCATGGAAGCAGAATAACTTTGGGATATCTGCCCAAAACAGACTGAACAGCTGAGTCTTCTGGGAATCACCTGGTGCTCAGAAATCTTCATTTCTTTTCCTACTTCTACAGATTTTAATGGCACCAAAGAACTCAGGGTGCCCATGCTGGGCAGATAGAGCCTGGGAATTTCATTATAACGATCTCTCTCTTGGTGGCTTTTTCCATTGTAATGGAAAATAAAATAAAATGGGTAATAATTTCTCCAGGCATTGAAAGATGAGATCAGGTTCAATAGTTCCTGTTTTTTCTTCACTTATGCAACCTTATCATTGCTTCCTGCCTGCTGTAACACAGAGAAGCAGAGTAGAACAAAACCTCACTCATAGTGCTAGTGATCTAACTACATATCTGTTCTTTATATCTAGTGAGGATTAAGGTTGTTTTTTTGTTTTATTTCTTGGGGTGTGCTGTTTAGTATAGTGGTCCAGGGCCTTGGCTCCAGCCCACATTGTCATTAGAAACAGTAGATAGCAGCAGATGTTCCCTCATTAGCTCCTACTTGTATCAGGTCCTGAGCATATTTGCCTTCTGAATGCTGGGCAAGAAACAGATGTTTCAGATGGTCATTTTTTTTTCTTCTTCTTCTTTTTTTAAACTCCTACATTATTAATATCTGTGATTCCATAGTCATGAGTGGAATCACTCAGATGCTAAACAGAAAAAAACCCAACAAATAAACAACCCCTCCTATTCCCTAGACAAAATATTCATTAAAATGAAGGTGTTGGTAAGGGGAGTGAAAGTGCTGCTGTTTAATGCTGTAGTGCCAATGTAAATGTTCAATTAACACCTCAACTACTTTGAAAATTGGCAGAAGAGAGCTGGTGTAAAATATTCATGGATGGAATTACTTGCTTACAGTGGCTGTGGACAAGAAAACAGTAAAATGCCACAGTATTGTCTACTGAGTTCCCCATTAAACTCCAGCCTAAATATATCCCTCGCTCCTCCCCAATTTCTTTGGTGCCATTGGAAATGGCAGCACAGAGCTCCCCCAAGTAACCTGCCTCTCTTTTCTTTCCCCAGGACATGCATGTTATCAGCACAGATGAGAATCAGGTGTTTGCAGCTGTTCAAGAGTGGAACCAGAACGACACGTACAATCTGTACATCTCCGACACCCGAGGGGTCTACTTCACCCTGGCCTTGGAAAATGTCAAGAGTAGTCAAGGGCTGGAGGGGAATGTGATGATTGACCTCTATGAGGTATGTCATAACTCCAAATATCTCACTGCTATCTCAGGAGCTCACAAGATGCCAATTCCCTCCTTGCACATCAGTATCATAAAATGCATATGAACAGCAAAGTCAACAAATGACTAAATACAGAGTTTTACCCCTCCTAGATTTACTGCTGTATTCACCAGTGGGTTCTCAGGTGAGGAACAGCTCATGGCTCTTTGATGCATAGGAAAAAGTTGTGGAATAGTTCATTCAGTTGCTGAGAGGAACTCTTTTTGTCAGCCAAAATCCTGCTTGGACCCATGTTGGCTCTATGGCTCTGAAAGCTCCCAACAGTCTCAATAGTATCATTCTCCAATATTTGCTGCATTTCTGGCAACCTAATCTCTTGTTTTAGAAGAGACTGCTGTTTTCAGCTGTCCTGGTCACCCTTCTCAGCTTGGACTATTCTGGGAACTTAAGTGGTTATAGATATGCCCTCTTGGGCTATCCCATGTGCATGGAAACTCTCATACCTCATTTGATCCCCTCTTTACCCTGAGCCTTTTTCTGAACAAGTGTGCTTTGCTTAAGCTCACGGTAAAAAGTCCAATTTGCCTTGGCATCTATGACAATTGATCTTAACAGTAGGACTTCTAATGTGCCCTTGTCCATCTCTTGCTCTCCTGCCTGTTTTCCCTCTGGAACAAGCACTCAGCTGAGGAGAAATTCAATTCTCAGCTGCCATTCTGAGGGTCAGGTTCTGTTTTCAGGTCTCCTCCAGGGTATTTTCTGACCATTTAGAAAAAAGGTCATAAAGTGGATCTGAGTGCCTTTGAAGATGAAGATGCTTCTTGCACTTCCCCATCAGTGTCTCAGTATTAGCTCTGCTCTGTAGCTTTCCTTCAGCTGCCCTCTACTTGGAAACCACCTTGAATTGTCCAGAGATCTCAAGAGTTAGTGCAGTGGACTGGAGGAGGATGGGCACTGCCATTTCAGTCATTTGGACATTTTTTACCATTAATCTCTCTGCAGTGCTGGCAGCCCATGGAAAAACTGTTGCCTCTTATTACTGTCAGCTGGGGAAGCAGCTTTACTGCATTATGTAAAGGTGTCCTACATCCCAGGGGTAAAGAAAATCTTTTGTTTTGTTTTATTCATCTGACACCACACAGCAACCTGGATTGAAATTGATGGAATTAGACTTACAGCATCATATCTGCTGAGTATCTAGATAGAGGGAATATTGGCTGACATGGAACCTGGCACAAACCTTCCTTTCAGTTTGATGTTCTTGCTGGAAGAGAACAGAGAGCCAGCCAGCATGGTTCTCTGAGTCAGATTGTTATAGTGATCTAGGGGAAAATGGAGAGGAAGGCAAGAGAAGGAGAAAAATCCATAGATAAATTAAAAGTGGAGAGATTGCCAAATGAGTCCTTCTCTGGTGGCAGCACTATATTTAAAAAAGCATCATCATTAGAGAAGATGACAGAGAAAGGCCTGTTTAATGTGCAGGTGTCTGTGTGCATGTTTGAAGTTCTGGTTGCAGTGTACATGTTTGTGTGTGTAATTCCTAAGTTGATTCTAAATCAAGAATAAATCTGCTCAATGCTGTGAAGCAGGGAATTGGACTGGGTACAAAGAAATAAAAATTCTTTCATAGTGTCTCCTTGAGTTCACAAAAAGGCTGTCCTAGTGACCACGTCCTAAAGTGAGGAAAGAGCTAAATCACTGACCACTGTGTCTGAGTGCCCTTTCTAGTGCCTGTGTCTGCCCAGGCTGTGTTGGAATGGTCCACAGACAGTCCTGCCTGTGACAATCCATGACTGAGGTGATAACAGACTGTGAGGAGGTGTGTCTATAGCTATGGTATATGTGCCTGTCACTCTGGAACTTACTTTTTCTAGCAGCATGAATGTTGGCTGAGATGTTCAATGTATGAAGGTGGTAATGGGGAGTGAAAAATGTCTTAAGAGTTGTGTGCCCAAGTGTCTTGTATGGATCTTTCTGAAGCTGTAGAGCAGCATTAGAATCACAATGCATTCAGGGTGGTGAGGATTCTGCAATTCCTGTGGGGAAGCTGATGGAGTGCTTTTCTCTCTGTCCACTGGTAGTCTTGCACTTGCTTGCCTGGGTGTTTCTCTGCAATGACTGTGTGAGCAGCAGGGCTGAACAGCTCCCTATGTGTGCCAGGGTTGTGTATGGGCAATTGGTCTGTCTCTTCCTTCTGAGAGTACCCAAGCATGTGTGTGCAGTCTTTTTTTTTAAGATAAAGCTGTCCAAGACTGACAGAATAACTTTGCTTTCTCAAGAAAGGATTTTGAGTCCCAGCCCATGACTAGAATCATAAAAAGATAAAAAAAAAAACAACCAGGATTTCAGAGCACTTTTATTGCTCAATATATAAAGTGTTCTTTAATCATTTATGGCCAGCATTTCACAGGGACTGTATAATAGAACAATTTTGGGACAGCAGCAAAGCAAAGTACAACTGCAACTATAGGCTCTGGCCTCTGGTAGTAAAGGCAGAAATATGTCATTTTTCCATCCCTGTCTATTCATACAATGTCACAGTGAGACAGGAGTACCCTTGTCTTTTCAGGGTGCCTTTCTACTAAAACAAAGAAATCCTGAATACTTAGTTGGATGGGATCAAACAATCCAGCTGAGAAATTGAAAAGGTTATCTTTTTTCTGCTTATATCAACAATGAATTAGTTAACTATTTAATTTAAAGACTATTGCCCTTTATAGCCAGCCATATCAAAGTCTTTGTGAACTTCAAATGAAATTCAGGAAGGTGCTATTTGAATGACTAAGTACATCACTGTGCTGTACCAAAGCACTGTACATAAGTAGTTTCACAGCATGTGATTTAAAGTGCAATAAGGTCCTGTTCACTGGTAGCTGTAGCATCCAAATCTGGCCACATAATTAAATGGGTTGAGCTGTAAAAAGCTCTGAATCTGCTGTGTAACTGTTTGCCATGCCATGTCATTTAATCTCTGTGAATAAAAACTCTCAATGAATGATTCTGTCTGCTAATTCTACATCATGAGCAGAGGTGAGGTGGATGACTGAACAGACTTGCTGGAAACCAAAAAGTTTCTCATTTATCCCCTCCTTCTCCTGATTTCACTTCCCTTTTTATTGCAGCACTCAGATTGCAGAATGACAGCCTAACAAATTCATTCTCAAGCTGCAGCAGCTATTGGGCTATTGATTTTCAGTGTGCTGAGAAGATGGGAACATTCTGCAGTGTGAGTTGTGGTTTGAGGTTGACTCTTTTTTCTCCTCACTAAGATACTTTTAGGCTTGGTTCCAATGTGAATCTGTTAGCATCATGTCTTTGAAAAATCCTCCTGCAGGTCTGTGGATTTAAACTGTTGGGTAAAACACCAGGAAAAAGTGAAAGGATGAAGACCTCATTGCCAGCCCTGTAACTGGCATTCTGTATGGCCTTGATTGAGTCCCCAGTGCTTTTGTTTCCTCAAAACACAAAATTGTAACAAAAATACCTCTGTGCCCCAAGTTATCCCATTGAAACACTGATAATTATTGTTCTGAAACACATTGAGATCCTTAGATGAAATGTCTGAAGAAGGCTGGATGAGAATAGAAACATTGAAATGCAAGTTTATGTGTGTGTGTTGCTGTTTTCTTCACAAGGCCAAAATTGCTGCTGTTTCCTGCTGCTGCTGCTGCTGTGCAAGAGAAAAATAATTGCCTGTGCATGTTTCATCTTTCAGGGGGAAGGATGTCTACACAGTTGAGAGGTTGTGACTTTACAGATAATACTACTGACATCTTGCCATGTTCCCATGATGATTCTGAAATAGTATTTCTTTCCCATTTGTCATCTTTGCACCTATGAGGGCTCTGTCTCTTCCCCAGCACTCCAGCTTGCCTTTGATGTACACTGGCAATTCTGGCCCTGACACTGACCACACTGACAGAGCCATCAGAGCCCTGGTGGGTTTGACAGAGAAAAAAGGACATGCACAGAACCTGCATGGACTTGATCTATTTTTCAGCCATGTCAATTTTTCCTAGGTAGCAGGGATAAAGGGAATGTTCTTGGCTAACAAGAAGATTGACAACCAAGTGAAAACTTTCATCACCTACAATAAAGGGAGAGACTGGAGTTTGTTGCAGGCTCCGCACACGGATCTGAGGGGAAATCCCATTCACTGTCTCCTAGTAAGTACCTGATGGGGGAATTTGGGGGTTGGTAATACCCCAGAACAATCCTTTTTCTACCAGGTAACACAACAGAGGGCAGCTCCCCTCTCTATGCAGTGTATCTCATGGAGTGCAGTTCTTCAGGCTTGGGCTGCCAGGGGTTGTTGCATTGTAATCTAGGTTAATTTAATTTAATTTCTGGAAGAAATTGTGGATCAGCTGCCTTCTGCAGAAGTGCTGTGTCCCTGGAAGAGCAGGGGAAGCTGGATGCTGTGTCTGGCAGTCGGTTCTCTGGACACTAGATGGGAGGCGAGAGCTGCTGTAGCTCAGAACTCTGAGGCACAGGAACTGGAAACAGGCTGAAAGGAAAAGAGAGCTGGGATTGCTTTCAGGCTGCTCGCTTGGCATTAATATTTATTAACATTCATCATTTTCTCTTTGAGCTCATAAGTGAGAATCGACACATTCATCCAAATATATGTACAGCTTTGTGTTGGTGTAAATTGTATCCATCTCTGTACTTACTGATATAGATCCACATATAGCTATGTCTTTAATCATCATTATATGCAAACAGTTTCCAAGAGGGAGAGTGAAATATAAATAATGTGAATAGAATTGGAGACCTCTATGAAGTTAGAGAGCCTAAACTGATCTTGACATATTTTTCAGCTGATGCAATCTATTCACAGTAGTGGGATAATACTCAGAACCCCTGTATTTGGGATTCTCAATAGCTTTCATATTATACTAATTCTAATATGGTTCCAGGCAGAATCAGGGACACTATTTAGATTGCTCTTACTGCTCCTGTCCTGTACTTGCACGTTGTTTTGCATCTAAAAAAAAAATGTTTTCTCATTTTGAGGCATTAGAATCTGAATCAGCATTATATTTTGTAGCTGAATGCTACACTAATCTCTTAACTGAATGTCATGCACTATTGAAAGAGCAAAGAATAAATATTTGAAGCTGCTCAAATAATTGATTTTTTTGATTCAGCCAAAATGAAAGTCCTTCATTTTCTGTCCAATTTGGAAAAAATGAATAGGAAAGACTGGGGGTAAGACAGAAGAGTTATTTCAGAGCATTACTAAATTCTTTTGGGTTTGTTTTCTTCTTTCAAATTTTTAAATATTGTAACTAAGTGAATTTTTATTAGATGTTTCCATGTGGTGAAAACCAAAAAAGATGGCATCCAAAAAACTTTGCAGACATATCTTTGGAAGGGACTAGGTAAAGAAGCCTTTGTGTTTCAAATAGATTGTATAATCTAGTTTTAACTGAAGTGAACATATTCAGTTAAAAAAGGTCAACATTTTGGCCTCAAATTATAACCAATTTAATCAGAAACTAAGATTTTTATTATATGATATGATAGTATAATATCCTCGGGGACTAGCAAGGCAGAAGAACAAAAAAAAACAACACATAGGCAAGTAAAATAATAAAAGTAGACTTTATTTTTTTTCCCATAAATTTGAAGTTAGAGTTCGGAAACTGCTTTCCTGGTATTTTTGTGCAGGGATCATGCAAAGTCTGACTTGCCACTCTGGTTATAAGTGAGCCTCTAAGTGCAGGAATTGGATATTTTATATACAAGGCTACACCTGCCATTGTAGTTGCCCATTTTATAATGGAAGGGGTCATATATCTGTGTGTGAAGTAGAAATGGATGGTTCTTATGGGGGGAGAGAGAGTTTTGGTCCCTTTAAGCCTCCCCTTCCATACTGGATCTGCTACTATATCCATGGGCAGAAAATAAAGTAAACTTCATTTAAAATTAGACCAGATATACCTGAACAAGCTGGGTTCCTTTGAGGGAGATAAACCTGAACAAGCCAGGCAAAGGGTCAAGAGGAGGAGCAGAAGGTGTGGGCACTTGTAGGGACACAAATCAGTGAGAACTGACCTAGAGAAGCTCATGGTTCTCTGGGGATTGCATTTCCATCCTGGGAGCTCCACTGTGCACAAACCACTATTTAAATTTAGTTTGTTTTTATTTTGTACTCTATGCAACCATGTACTTGCTCTGAGAATTACTTCCACCTGGGTAAGCTCAGTAGATGTTTGTCATGCTGTTTACATTTCTTAAGTGCTCTGTGACTTGAGCTGGAGTGTAGGAATTGTTCTGTGATTTCAGGGTGCTGAGGGGCAAATCCTCAATGCACTTTAACCCCGTATCTCAGTCTTTGTCCTTTCAGGAGAATGGAAAGTATTTTATCAGCACTGCCCTGTGATAAGGCCAGAATAATATTTAGCCATGTTGATTTTTCCTCTTCCCCTAACATTGGGTAAAACAGGCAAGAGGCCTCTTTCATTGTGTGAGCACTCCTCCATGGTTAGGTTTCACCAGCTTTTGGAATGGCAGAGGGGCAGGAAACTTTAGCTGAGCATGCAGAGTCTCTGGTGGTCAACTTGCAAATTTGAAAGAAAGCAAATAGCTGCAATCTGAATTAAACTTACTCCTTAGGTTTTACAGGAACAGACAGTCTGCCTGCCATAGAAAGGGATTGATAGAAGTCAGAAAATATACCAAACCACAAAGTGAAATAGCAATTCTGCAAGAGAGACAAGCTATTTAAAAATCCCATCAGAGGTTCATGCCTAATGGTGGGGAGGATGAAGGCAGAATATGGAATGAAAGAATTCTAGAAATTTTAGAGAATAAACCACAGAAGTTTGGAGTGGTAGGAAAGTTTTTGAAGCACAAGCACTCTAAGTTTACATTCCTGGAAATGTCAGGGATCCAAGGGTTTTCTACTGAGGAAAAATGAGGAGAAAAGGAATTTTCCCCTGCTCTGAGGCAATTCTGTTCCTTGTCAGTGTGACACAGCTTAGCATTTAAAACACTTCACAAACTCCACTCACCTCTTCAGCCACCCCTGCATCACTAGTTTTACCTCCTTATGTCAATTGCTCCTTTTCCTTCTAGACATAACTGTTCCTGACACGATCCTGCTTTTCCTTATGGCACAGATAAGTGAATTCTTCATAGTCCATTGTACATGTAGTGTAGCTCCCATCCTTGCTGCACAGCAGATACTAATGCTTTCCCACTGCTGCTTCTCAGCATAATTGTCTCCAGCAGTAGCTCAGGACTCAGCAATGATGTATGTTCCAGCTCATTGGCAAAATGGGATCTGCCATTTCCCAGAGCGACAGCACAGTCCCCAGCCTGTGAGTGCAGTGCTGTGTGCTCTGTGCATTGGGTCTTTAAACCTAAACTAAGTGAGAATTAATACAGAAGTACATAGCAGCTAAGTTGTCAGCTAAGGAGGTTAGGAAGGAATCTGGTTGAAGCACAGGGTGAGCCAGACAAAACCATGCCTCTACTGACAGTACACTCCAGGTGGTTTTTCAAAAGGACTCCAAATTTCTTCGCATTTTTTGTGAGGCAGCTGTAAATAATGAGGAGGGAGGAAAGCAATGAAATTCCATCTAATCCCAGGGTTTTGTTTTTCTTGTTTATACCACTTGCATTCTAAGATGAATGTACTTAATCTTCGTGAAATAGCTGCCAAGGTATTTTATTCCAAAGATGCTGTTTAGTTCAATAGTTACCATATGTTGTGAAGTGGTTAACTGAGGAGTAGTTCTGTCTGGCAAGAGATGAGCCTGGGAGAGTTAATTAATTAGCTTTCAGGGATGGACTTGTGGTTCAAACACAGGGCTGAATCTCAGGAGAATCTTGATTCAATTTTTGGGTCTATCTCCAATTTCCTATGTGACTTGGGCAAGTCATGTATTTCCTCTGTGCCTTGCTTCCCCAGACATCTGTTTATTCCCTCCCACATTTTGGTTGCCTTTTCCATAGGAATTTATTAGGATTTCAGGACAAAGACCTTCTTCTCATAAAGGGAGACTCTATGCCATCTGCTACAGAGTATTTTAAGCATCTAAGTGAGGTGTTTTGAATATCTCTCTTGGAAGTGTTTATCTCTTTTCATTGTTCCTTGCTATTGCAGATGAGCAAATACTGCAACTACCCTTAGGTTTGTGAATGGTGGCCAGCATCATCTTTGTGTTATATTTAATACTTTCTCCCACTTCTGATGAGGGACAGCCACTAATAGCTGGTTTGTATTGTGTCCTGCCATTGGAGACAGTTCAGGTGGGCTTTGCAGAACAGCCAAAAGTGGATTTGTGAATGTTCATGAAAAATTTTACTAAGGACTGATGAGTTTCCTGAGGGGGGGCCATAAGGGTGTTGGCTTGAAAATATTAGGAAGCAAGTAATGAACTCCAGCATAACTGTAAAAACTGTGGCAGTGGGCAGAGAAAGAGGCTTTATCACCTGTGCTTTATCTTCTGTCTAGAGTTTAAATGCTCCATTATATTGTTGCCTGTCCCTTGGTGGCTGTGCAACAGTTAGCACAGATGGGAACAAGGCAATGACAAGGAAACCCAAACCTGTGATTCTGGTGATAATAATGATTTTAGTGGCCTGTTGATAATAACAAAAAGGACAGAGAAAATTGATGAAAATTCTGAAAACCAGTGAGATGTCTGTATGTGCATTAAGCTCTGGGAGCTGGAGGAGGAACACAGAAGGACCAGCAGAACACAAAACAGCTGGAAAAATATCTGTTGATGAACTGTATAAGGACAGAGATGGAGAAGGTGTACAGGGGAATGAGGGAAAGAATGCTAACACAGTCAGGATGTGGGGTGGCCATGGGCAGTAACTTCATGTGTTTGGCTAAGAGTGGAAAGGTTGGCTTTCACACCATAGCCAGATGTCAGTAGAGACTCTAAGCATTACTGCACTCCAACCAGGAAGAAGTCATGCCACTAAAAAGACCATCTGTCTGCTTAGACAGATGGCCTGGCTTTTAATATTGGAGAGATATATTCCATTTCTATATGCTATATCTGTGAAATGAGATAAATTTGAGAGGAAACCTCTGGTACCACAAAGATTGAATCTTAACAAGGTCTCATCTGAATTGGGAATTGGCTGAGTTGCCATTAAGTTCTGTCTTCAGAATGCTGAAGTGGGCTTGCAGTATGTTAGTTTTAAAAATATGTTTTCTATTTAGCCTTCTCACAACCTACCAAAATGTAAAAGGAAGGAGTTCATGCTCTCGCAGTGCTTTTCCACTTCCTGCATTCATGTCAGCTCAATTTGTTTTCCACTCCCTCCCGGCGCCCCGGGCTGCTCCCGCGGCTGCCCTCGCAAGGCTGTCACTTGGAGTTAGGCTGCTCAGTACATTCCACTTGGCAGCTTGTGCTCCCTGCTGCACACCCACGTCCCCCTTTCCTGTCTCACATAAGTGAGAGCTCCCATCTCTCCTCAGCACCCTCATTTGCCTTTGCCAGAAGAACCCTGCCTTTCTACACAGGGGAGTTGTCATTTCAGTCATATTCACCTGCTTTGAGATGGGATGGATAAGTGGCCCTCCTCCAGTGACCTATGGGACTAGCTCTCCTACAGAGGAGGCCTGCCAGGCTCTTGGGGCCACAGATCTAGCCTTTAGGCAGCTGGGGTATTCAGGAAAACCTGCCTCCTTTGAGCCTGAAGGTCCCTCTGCATAGCCCCTCTTTCTCTGACAGAGCTGGGCAAGCTGAAGCATGGGCTTTGCTCCACTTCTGTTCCTGTGTCATGTCCACCTTGATTGGGTCAGTTTGCTTCAGGTTTTCTTGCCAGTATTTTTCCCCTGCTCCTCCTCCCTTAGCCTGTTTCATAAAGGGCTCTTCATGAGGTTTGAAAGAAAAAAAATTCTGGAAAAAAACCCGAGTGAAGGAAATAGCATTCAGAAATGTTCAGAAAATATCACATTACAGATTTGGAGGGAATTGTAATGGCAGCCTTGAAAATCTGCTCATCTGTCTTACTTTCTAGCTCAGCTGATTTATTCTGTACCACTTGTGTCTTACCTGAGTACCCAGCATACGAAATCAATAGCAAGTAGGTAAGGTTTCCGTGGGTGTATTTGTATTGAAAACTTAAAGGTCACATCCAGATGGGCAATGAAGCTTTGCTTTAAACTTGAAACTAACACTTTCTAGTCGTGGTACTTCTTTGTATTTATTGCAGTGCACTTCAGAACAGTCATATGTCAAAAAGAGTTAAGAAATGGTATGAAATAAGTTTTTTTTCTTGGCTAATTAGCAGTGATGCAGCACCACACCAGTAGGGTTAAATTGCTTCTTGTTTCAGAGATAGTTTGGGTAGTGCTGCTCAGAGTCATTTCATATCTGCATCAATCTGCATGATTTCTTCTCACAGAGTAGGAGCCAGGAGCCTCAGGTAATCCTTACCATCATCTGCCTGTGCAAGCCTGGTCCTCTCCTTTCAGGTGCAGCCTCAAAGATGTGGTCCTTTGAAGAGGGTTTCAGCCTGGTTTCAGCCTGGTGCATCAGATTCCCACTGGGAATGGGTTGTGTCAGAAAATGATGGCAAAGTGGCTGTGCCCATCTAAGGGATTAGGAGGAAATACAGAAAGACACTGTACGTTTCTAGGCCTGTAGAAACAGGAGCATACATTGTTGTGTCTGCTTTTTACTTTTATTTCCCCTTTCTCCATAGCCCTATTGCTCCCTTCATCTTCACCTGAAGGTCTCAGATAACCCCTATACCTCAGGAAACATCGCCAGCCGAGACACTGCCCCCAGTATTATTGTAGCTTCAGGTAGGAAACATTTAAAAATTCCCTGTGTTGGATGTGCAAACGTGGATAAATTCTGGAGTTTGTGTTGGGTGGCTCTGGGGTGTCACACCACCACTACTGGGAAAGAAGGCAGGCTGTCAAATGAAAATCCTTATGGGCCTTCAGCTTGTCATATGCTTTTTATGGAAACTGGCTTCCAAGATAGAGGCGGTCATGTCTAGCCCTCTACTCCTGTGAGCATAAGATCAAATCAGGGCATTTCCTTTGCATGTAGAGGTGTGTAGAGTTGTAGATATTGAGTCTTATATATTTTTTTCAAACTGAAACGCCTTCCCTTTTCCCCCTTCACTCTCATTTTCCTCCCAAACCCAGAAGTAATAAATAAATACGTTTACTCCCCTGATTTGCTTATTGTGCTGTTTCTGAGAGGGTTCCTTCACTAACCAGTGCTCATCTTACAGGTAATATAGGCACTGAGCTATCAGACAATGACATCAGCATGTTTGTGACTTCTGATGCTGGGAACACTTGGAGGCAGGTAAATGACACAGAATCACTGGTTTAAACACGAATCAGGAAATGTCATAAAAGTAGATTCAATCTGTCACTTACTTTTTGTTTCATTTGGTTCAGGGTAGCTTTTTGCAAACCTTTTATGAAAGAGTAAACTTCCTTCTCAAAGGTACAGAGATGTTCAAAGAGAAAGACTGAATATGCTGTTAGACTTCATATTACAGAAAATTATTTTTATTATTCTACTCAGTTTGACTTCAGTTTAACTCCATAGAAAATAGAACAGAACAAATTATGAATAATAAGGGGAGAGAAAGGGTTACCTTTTACTGTTGTAAATCCCTCATGCTAACCAAACTATTTTTCTTTTTGTCCATGACTATACTGACCCAAAAATCAGCAGTTTCATTGGTCTATTTTTTCTCACTTCAGCTGAGACTCGCTTCACCTAAGCTTGAGTTGTCCAGGGTTTGTTGTCCATATAAATGGATTATTTTGCAGAAAAAGTCAAAATTCAGAAAAAGGCAAAATTCAGTTTGCCTTGTTCCAAAGTTACCTACCGGTGGAAAGAGACTGGATGATGAAATTGTATCTACTTCCTAATATTTAGTGGAGTCTCACCTGTTAAGAAATACCCTCTAATGTGTTTATCTTCAGATCAGAAAATTCTGTTGTTCCTATTTTCTGAATGGGATATCAAGTCATGGAGAGAAAGAGTAACTTTCTCAGACTAACAAATGCTGCTGTATAGACTGTAGAGCAGATGTTTGCAGAAAGTTAATATAAAAAAGACACAGGCAGAGAAAATATTTTCCAATATTTGATAATCCAAGAATCTAATTATTTTGCAGTGTTTGACCAGCCTCATTTTTCTGCCTAAATCAATTATTTGAGATGGGGCCAGACATGTGCAAACACATGAAATTCTTCTTTAAACAAAAATTTGTCATTGAAAGGAGGGAAATTGTTGATCCTTGCAAAGAAATCATATTTCTAACATTCTGTCCAGCAAGGGAAGAATGAATTTTCCATGGACCTGGAAAAACTGTGGGGAAAAAATGCCCAAACAATAAAAAAAACGAATCCAGGAAATATATCTATAATTTCCTCTACTTTATAATTTTCCTAGCATATAACTGTCCTGTGTCATGATCCTACTTAAAGAACTGTGACATTTTCTTGATACTTATGGTAATAGGTTTGAATAAACCCCTTTCTTTTTTCTTTTTTTTTTTTTTTTTCCAGATCTTTGAGGAAGAGCACAGTGTTCTGTACCTGGATCAAGGTGGAGTGCTTGTTGCCATGAAACACACATCTCTGCCTATCAGACACCTCTGGTAATGACTCCATTTGTGCTAAATGGCTGCTGTCCCTCTTTCCAGATGCCAGGAAGTAGGCACTTAGTATGCATCCAGTCTTCTGCAGCTCTAATCTAGAAAGTATTAGTTAAGATACTGGCAAACATTAGGTCAGATAAAGCTAAGAAATCCTGGAAATTACAGTTTACATAATTTTGGCTTGGCCAGATCTGAGATATTATCAGTGTAATTCCACAACACTCCTGATTTACCACAGCTTGGCTTTTTGGATTTGTTTGTTTATAATACATATATATATATGTGTGAGTGTATTGTTTATGCTTTTGTCTCTCATTAAGTTACCAAAACAGTCCTAATTTTCAAAATTATTGATGAACTTGCCTTCTGTGTGGCAGGCAGCACTTATGAACCAGAATTTTGCTGAATAGTTTCAGAGTTGTGTAACTGATAATGTAAAAGTGCAGTTAGCACTCCTGAGTGAGGAGGCAGAGTATAGCTTTGTGCTGTTCTGTATTATTTACTTCCACCACAGTTAGTGTCATATCAGAATCTCAAATACTGAGACCCAAGTCTTAAGAAATTATGAGTGGTTCCAGGCTTTCACTTACACTCCCTACAGGGGGGACTGCTGGTCTGAAGGAACTCATCCTCCAGAAAACTAACCTCAAAATGTTTTATACTGGGGACTCAAAAACCAGATGTTCAAAATCACTTGTTTATTTTTTTAAAAATCTTATGCTTAGACTGCATTTTGCCCTTTGAGCATCAATCTTTAACATAAATTCTAGTTTCTACCACTTAAATATTGGCCATGGGTTAGTGGTATGATGCCAGACAAGCTTGATCAATGCTCTGATTTATGATGCTTGCCCAAAAAATAGTTATTAAAAGGACCAAAAAATCAGAATCCAATAAGAGAAGCTGTTTTCCACTTCTCCATAGCAGCTGCAGTGGACTAGAGAATCCCTTTGAGTAAAAGAGGAGAGTAAGGAAAGAAGACACTAATTCTGCTTTCTCCTCTAGGTTAAGTTTTGATGAAGGGAGATCTTGGAGCAAGTACAGTTTCACATCCCTCCCACTGTTTGTAGATGGAGTTTTAGGGGAGCCTGGCGAGGAAACCCTCATCATGACGTAAGTGAGCATGCCACAATGCTGCTGTGCAGGTGAACCACACATTGTATTTTGGAACAGGGGCATTTCTGGTTGGGGACCAAACCAAGTACAATCTGCAGCCAAGAGTGTGCAATCTTCTGTTGCTAAATCATCAGTTTATTTGTGATATGGCTGAGGGATTAGCAACATGGTTCTTTGCAAGCTGCAAACACATTATCACTTAGCTTATCAGCATGAAACCTGACTTCTCAAATTGAATGTGATATAAAGCAGAATTACTGTTAACAGATTAATATTTGAAAGAAAAATTGAGGTATTTTTTATAACTGTGGTTTTGCTGCTGCAGTCTTTTTTTAAAATGAGACATGGATAAGTGAAGACATTCTTTTGTAAAAATGAATGACAAAATGTTGCCTTGAGGCTGACTCATGAAAAATTATGTTTAGTTTCAATGTGCTATACTGAGTTCTGCATGATGCATAAATCTGGACTCAGTGTGGTAGAAACTGTGATATTTTATCTGAAATCAGACTGTAAAAACAAGAAGTATTTCTGACTGACCTGTAATAAGCAGAATTGGCTTGGAAACTAACCTGAGCTAATAAAGATGCATGAAAAATGTTCCTTCAGGTTCTGATTTTAATTTGCTTGGAAGGGATTCCCAAAGCTTAAAATTCAGATAAAACTCTTGAAGGTATTACTGTCTCCAGCCCCACATCAAATCTTCTCTTGACTCTTCAAGTTGAGTAATTTTGGATATTTTCATAAATGGGAGGGTCTTAGTGAACAGAATGAAAGCTCCATGCAATTTTTCAGTTTCTAATAGGGTTACAGATATTTATCAGGCCAAGTTTCACTTTGTCAGTCCAGTGAAAATGAGTAGGACTCTCATTCTTAAAGCTATTGATGTCTGTTGGAAATTGTGATGACTGTCCCTCTGTAACAACCAGACTCCTTTTACTGTGTGTTCCTGCTGCTGCATTTGCAGGGTGTTTGGACACTTCAGCCACCGCTCAGAGTGGCAGCTGGTGAAAGTAGACTACAAATCCATCTTTGATCGGAGATGTGAGGAAGAGGACTACAGGCCTTGGCAACTCCACAGCCAGGTGAGAAGTGAGGATGCTGGGATGTGACCTGCAGTAGCTAATGATCCTACAGTTCAAGATCAGCAGAATCTAGTATCTTTTCCTAACAATTTGGTGTCAGCTCATCCCTTACTGGGTGGGTCTGTTCTGTTGCACTGGTGTGTTGGCCTCAGATTGGGACTCTGATCCCTGAAGGATGAACAGCTGCATTTTGGGTGTCATCCTGCACACAGACAATTACCTCAGACTTATGCAGACTTGAACAATACAACAGCAGGAGAACTGCCACTGAGGCCTGAACTCCTTCACTCTTACACATCCCATCCAATTTCCCCATCCTTAACCTCCTTTCTCTCCTTCGTCATTCTGTGTCCTCAGAGCCAGTGTCTTAAGACCATTCTAGTTGTTTTGCATTTGTTTCTCCCATTTCTGGCCCTCTCCCATTTCTTGCTCACTTGGTTTCATTCCTGTTCTGTGTCTCTCTGCTGTGGGAGTTGGGCACTTTAATCCCCAGTTCATTGGCCCCCATGCCCTGCCCTGTGCATGCAGGATGCAGCTGCTGCATCACTCTCTGAACCATGGAATTCATGCCCAGCAAGGTGAGCTGCTCTGCACCTGCCTCGAGGCATCTTCCCAGCTCTGTCAAGACACAACAGCCTATGTTTCATCAGGTTAGAATGAAATATGGCCCAAATTCTGTGGTTATATAAACACCACAGGCTCCACTGAAGTCTAGAGCAAAGCACACATTTATATCATCAAACGTTGTCTTTCTGTATATATCTTGCTGGGCAAGAATTTATTAATGAATATGAAATGAAAGTATCTTGACTCAGACTAGCTGCTCACACAAGGCACAACTCTACACTAAAAATACCAGTTATTACTTAGATCTTTAGATGCTGAAAATCAGTACAGCATTGAATTCCAAGGAAGCACAGAATTTTAGACCAGTAGCTATTCAGGCCCTTCTGTTTCATGCCATCAAATCATCAAATCAAAGCCATGAAAAAATTTTCCACAACAATTTTAACAGCATAAAAGGTAATAAGTGAGACTCCACTGTATTTTTTTCTTTGCTTTCTTGTGCTTGCATAAGCAAAAATACCAAGGATTTTGCAGTATTTCTTTGAGAATATTGGCTTTGGAGCTTGCAGAACTATTTTTAGGAAGGCTTCTGTGTACTCTTGCCTTTTTAATTTCTTTCCACTGAGATTGCAAGGCTGAGCCTTGTTCCCTAGATAGAAATATTAAGCAGGGTGCTGAAGATGGGAAGTTTTAGCATCTACATAACAAGTCAAAGCCCCTAAAACCAAACTCAGCCATGGGAAGTATTTACATAAACACACATTACAAGTTTCTACTGAATGAAAATATTCCCAGAGAGGTCAGACCCAAGAAGTCAACCTGCTGTGTGGCTCAGATTGCAGAGGAATCAGACCATGTTTTCAGTTGCTGTGAAATGGGTCTGTATCAAATGCTTATGGGCCCTGGAACAAATGCAGAGCTGAGTAAGATATATAAGTAATCTCAGATAATTTCTTAGTGTGTATTGGGAAAGTTGATTTAGTTTCAGTTAGAGCTCCAGTAGCTTTAATTAACTGCAGTGTTCTGAGATGGCATTTGGCTCCCCATCCCTTTCCCTCGAGTAACACCTCCCATTCCACAGGCTTGGAAACACCAGGTGACACAAATAGCCTGGTGGGCGTCACAGAAATGTTTCTGGCTTTGTTTCCAGGGAGAAGCCTGCATCATGGGAGCAAAGAGGATCTACAGGAAGCGCAAGTCAGAGAAGAAATGCATGCAAGGGAAATATGCTGGGGCCATGACCTCGGAGCCCTGCGTGTGCACAGAGGCAGACTTTGACTGGTGAGCACTGGGCAGGACTGGGTGCTCTCACACAGCACCATGGGAATCCCTAGAGAGGCTGTAGACTCACAGAGAGCAGAAATTAATAAATGTGTAGGTATTGAAATAGGCTGCTCCCTGATCATGCAGGTGTGGTAAAAGAAGGAAAGGTGGAATAGGGATCTGTAATCTCCTAAAGCTCCCACAAAATCAGTGCTGAGCATTTTCCAGGTCACAACTCTGTGCAGTAAGGTAACAGGTCAATTTAGCACATCTAACCTTAGCAATGAACAAGGGTGGCTGAGAGTAGTCTGAAGACATATAACAGCATTGTGTAAAAAGTAAATAAATTCTTAACACATACACCCATATGTGTATATAAGTAAAAGTAAATATATGTATATGCAAAGTATGCCTTCAGCTTCTAGAATCAGGTATCTAGGAAATAAATTCCTGGGCCATTTGTTGCATCTGGACCATCATGTTTGACAGTATCCAGCAGATATTACCTTCATGATTTGAGTTAATCTCCTTCTGAAGCCTTTTCTTCTCTGATGTTTGCTATAGGAAATAGAGTCCATTGGTGAGTTATGCATGGTGTGATAAAATCTTCAGCTGCTGGTTTCATTCCAGTATTACTGCTGACTCACAGCAATTTGCACAAAAAAGGCAGGGAACCACATTATTGAAATCTCTTTCTTACCTTTTTTCTCCAAGTCTGCAAGTTCCTTAGTATCTTGGATGAGAGAAATGTTGGCTGCTTGGCAGTGCTGATAAACTCCCTTTGTGCCTCACCCACCCAGATCTATGTCATGTTACTAATTAAACCCAGAATCTGCTGTGTGAATCCTGAAAAGGTTCATCCCATCAATATTTCATATGGAATTTTATAGTGTTTCCCTTCTCACTCCTACATAAACATAGAATATTTTTTCTGTATAAAATCACAGAATCACAGGAGGCTTTTATATTTTGTCAAAAAAAAGTCAATTCTCTTGCTCCAAACAATACAATTATGAGCATATTTTGGCACAGATTCTGTCAGTATGGTTCCTTTTTTCCTCATATTCCATTTAGTTCTTTTCTAGGGAGGTCTGTGTGTAGTTCATCATTTAGATGTCCAAAGCTCCTGGTTTTCAATCATTTAATATTTCTCTAGTAATGTAAAAAAGATAAGAGCCAAACCAAAAACCCCAAACCATCATTAAAATCAAGGAAATTCCCTAAAGATTTTGACCCTCTTATAGGGCATGCAGTGCAATGCTGAGCCAACCTCATGGCCTTATAAAATAGTTGATGCAATTGATTCACAGTCAGTCCATTAGTGTTTAAATCCCTGGCACTTGTAAGGGACACACATACCTGAAACTTCTGATAAAAATATGCTTTCCTTCCAGCACTTCTCTCTGAGAATGAATATATTTATTTTATTAAAATTGACTTTGTGCCTTGCCACCATAAAAATTTGCTGCTAGGTACAGAACAAAAGTACCACAGTGACATTTTCTGGTGCAAATTTTTATTTCTTTAATGTTCACCTCAAGGAAACTTTCTCCAAAGGCTCTACTGGGCTGTGGGAGAATCTCTAAGAGAAAGCTTGGATGATTGGGCATGTACAACAGGCACTCACAGTTCACGTGCATGAGCAAGACTCCTCAAATATGTTTCAAGAGGCAGAATTAGGATCTTTCTGACACAGAAGGACATTCTCCTTCTCATGGAATCACTTTTGGTTTAGACCAGACTGCCGTGATCCCCTCCAGTTCTCCCTGAGCTCAAGTTCTTCCTACAGTCTCCAGACTTGGATTTCAACTTTATCCATTTCAGCTTCCTTCCCTACTGCCTCTGATGAAAAAAGATTGAAACGCTACTTTAAGCATCCAGTTCAGAAACATTTACCAACAATATTCATCAGGAGCATAATTTTACATAGATATGCCAGAGCAGGACAGAAAAGGAGACAAGAAAATTATGAGAAAAAAAGCAATTCTGTGTGCTAAGAAAGGAAAAGCTGCTGCTGCACCACTGTAACTTCCAGTGCCTGCCTTGTTGAACTCTGCATGAGGCTTCACTGCCAATTCACCCTGCCGAAGTTGGAGGGCTGGAGGGAGGTTTGGAGGAAGTCAGGGAATGAATTCTCACTGTGGAAGAGTGCCCTCTGTGGAGTTCTTTCCTTTTCAGGAAGAAAAAAAGCACTTTCATCATCCTCACTCATGACATTTCAGTACTTTCAAATGATTTTTTTTTCTTTTTTTTTTTTTTTTGTACTGGGCAGGGCTCTTAATTGAAGGAGATTGAAAGGGACATGTATCCCCTAGATAGGGAGAAGCTCTTCAGCTGCCCACACTTGATTTTTGAATCTTGAAATAAGTTGGACATCTTTTTATATTGTCAGTGTTTACAGAACACGTTTGTATACAGAATTGAAGAAAACAACACTCCCTGTCATTATGCTGTCATTGCTGTTTAAACACTTAATTTATATGGAGAAAAATTTATTATCTCGGCTTGTCAGAGACTGGAGTAAAAATGTATCTCTCTGGTCAGGTAAAGTGAAAAAAAAGTGTTATTGCTGTTAATACTGCAAGTGCTTTTTTATCAGTTCAGGGGAAAAAATACCAGGTATAAAAGACAAAGATTTTCTAATGTTTGTTTCTCTCTTGTAATATCACAGAGGTCCAGATTAATTTCAAATCTGTATGCAGCCCATTGGTGCTCTTTTCTCAGGGAAAAGGGCACATTTGTTTATTGTTTTGTTCAGCGAGAAAACCGAGTGCCATTAGAAGTGACTGCAGTTCCTCCAGCCTTGGAAGCAGGATTTCTCTGCCAGCAGAGAGCTTTTATTTATCTTTTATTTATCCTAGGCTGGGAGCTGGAGGGGCTGGGCCAGGCTGAGCCATCCCTGGCTCTCCGTGCAGGGAATGAGGCTCGGCCAGGCCAGGCTAGGCCATCCCTGGCTCTCCATGCAGGGAATGAGGCTCAGCCGGGCCAGGCTAGGCCATCCCTGGCTCTCCATGCAGGGAATGAGGCTCGGCCAGGCCAGGCCAGGCCATCCCTGGCTCTCCATGCAGGGAATGAAGCTCGGCCAGGCCAGCCTAGGCCATCCCTGGCTCTCCATGCAGGGAATGAGGCTCAGCCGGGCCAGGCTAGGCCATCCCTGGCTCTCCATGCAGGGAATGAGGCTCAGCCGGGCCAGGCTAGGCCATCCCTGGCTCTCCATGCAGGGAATGAGGCTCGGCCAGGCCAGGCTAGGCCATCCCTGGCTCTCCATGCAGGGAATGAGGCTCGGCCAGGCCAGGCTAGGCCATCCCTGGCTCTCCGGGCAGGGAATGAGGCTCGGCCAGGCCAGGCTAGGCCGTCCCTGGCTCTCCATGCAGGGAATGAGGCTCGGCCAGGCCAGGCTAGGCCATCCCTGGCTCTCCGTGCAGGGAATGAGGCTGGGCCGGGGCCATCCCTGACTCTCCATGCAGGGAATGGGGCTCAGCCAGGGCCATTCCCGGCTCTCCGTGCATGGAATGAGGCTCGGCCAGGCCAGGCTAGGCCGTCCCTGGCTCTCCATGCAGGGAATGAGGCTCGGCCAGGCCAGGCTAGGCCATCCCTGGCTCTCCATGCAGGGAATGAGGCTCAGCCGGGGCCATTCCCGGCTCTCCGTGCATGGAATGAGGCTCAGCCGGGCCAGGCCAGGCCATCCCTGGCTCTCCGTGCAGGGAATGAGGCTCAGCCGGGCCAGGCCAGGCCATCCCTGGCTCTCCATGCAGGGAATGAGGCTCAGCCAGGGCCATCCCTGGCTCTCCATGCAGGGAATGAATGAAGCTCGGCCGGGGCCATCCCTGGCTCTCCGTGCAGGGAATGAGGCTCAGCCAGGGCCATTCCCGGCTCTCCGTGCAGGGAATGAGGCTCAGCCAGGGCCATTCCCGGCTCTCCGTGCAGGGAATGAGGCTCAGCCAGGGCCATTCCCGGCTCTCCGTGCAGGGAATGAGGCTCAGCCAGGGCCATTCCCGGCTCTCCGTGCAGGGAATGAGGCTCGCAGCCAGAGGGCAACAGCGCCTCAGGAATGGGGACCTGGATGCGCTGGAGCCCTCGGCAAGTCTGTCCTAGCAACAGCCTAGAAACGAGAATCTCCCTCTTCCTTTAATTGATTTGGGTAAATGGATGGCACCGTTACTTGGGCGTTATTAAAGCATTAATTTACCCGGTTTCCTCACATTGTGTTCCTTCCTGCCTTCTGAGCATTATTGCAGCGATATCTCTTCAGCAGGAACACCTCCTAGACACAGATGGAAACCTTTGGTGGAGTTCATCCTTCAGCCACCTGTCTCCCAGGTCCTTTATTAGGAACTTTGAGTGAAGTGTCCCACTGTTAGTCCTCCCTCTGAACTTGCTGTCATTAATACTGACAGCTTCTTCTGTCAGCATTCCCATCTCTCACACCTTCATGGGAAGTATGAGCCTGTTGATAGTGGTGCTAGTGGTTTTGGATAGCCAGAGAGGCACAAAGGTGCCTTGGTACAACTGGGAATCAGGTCTGCTTATTTATTTCACATATGATATCAGCAAGGATCTGGCTGGCTCTTTTTGTATTCTCCGGCACTTAAATTACAGCCCTGCCTGCTGGGGTGAGTTCCTATGCTAAAACATCAGAGTCCTGCATCAGGAGGAAGTGTTCTGACAAACCCCAGGAAGACAGGGGACAGACACTGTGTGTGGTTAGATTCTGCTGGCTTTGTGTGTCACCAGCCATCACTTCAGTTCATGCAGGTGCCAGCTTTGAAATACATCTACATTTGCCCCCTTTGGTTATGGGCTTGGTTAACTAACAAATAGTAATTTAGAATGAATTTTTAGTTCATTTTGAGTGCTTGTGGAAAATGCAGATTCACTAATGCAAAATCTACAGTGCATCTCTGCATCTTTAAGGGCCTGGATACCTACTGGGCATGGATTTACTGGAAAGGTTCTGGGGATTTTAGGTTCCATATTAACATAAGCTGGTATAGCTCGACTCCAAATACTGCAGTGCAATTATAATTGTACACCTTTGTAGATCCACAGTTCAGACTGTAGCTGAATCCATCCTTGTCTGAATAAAATCCCATGTCAGGTCCTGTAGAACTGGGGAACAAGCACAGCTCCCCTTTAATACACATCTACACTTGAACCATGGTTAAATATTAGAAAATGGTATTAAGTGAATAAAAAGGTAGTGAGACTTTTCCACTGCTGTGGCCACAGTTATTTCTTCTCACCAGGGCTTTTGGAAACTGCAGAAAAAGGTGACTCTTTTCAGAGATAGCTCAATTCCATCCCATTTAATGTCCAAAAATGTTTGGAAAGCTCAGTATGCAAAATCACAAGGAGCATTGTCAGCTTCTGGCATAGCTGACCTTAAGGTGAAGCTGTTAATCTTAAGGAATTTCTATGATTACATGCTAAGTCATATATTGATTTTTAGAAGCTATAAACATGGAAATCACTCATCTGAATTAACTGGTTATTTCTGTATCTTAGAGCTGTAGGATTTTAATAATTCCATGTGAATTAACAGTTCTACTAAACTATGTTTGTCAGGTCTCTTTTCAAATTACAAACTTCCTTGGGGGATTTCTTTTCTTTGATTATTACCTATGGTGAAAATAACATTAGATAAAGGAATTTATCATGAGCATTGAGCAGAGATACAAAATGTCTGGAATGAATTTGTATCTAATTACAGAAAAGAACTTGCAGTTCTAATTGACTAAGACAAATAGGATTCCAGTTTAAACCAGTAAAAGGGTAAAACCATAATCAATGAGAGCCACAAGACAGGCTGCTTCCTACTGATAAAGCAATCCCTGATGGCAAACGCTCCCCTCCTTTTTAGGAGATACATTATCTGTGTCACCCGAGTTCCTTTCAGGCAGGCACAAAATATCATCAATATATGCAAATTCCAATTCCCAGCTCCCAGGCAATGACTCAGGGAGCTGATTGCAGGCTGAGGCTGATGCCTTCCCCATCTCCAGACTTTGCTGTACTGGCTCATGCTATGGACATCCAATTGATGGTAATGCTTCTTGATTGCTACAAAGCCTGTTGTGCCAAATTGTAGGCAGCAATTTGTTGTCAGCATCAGTGTTCTGCGTGCACCAGCCTGTAGCCAAGGAATTCATTAGATTCCAAGACTGCAGAGGTGAATGGGTGGCTGCTGCATCTGTGGAGGGATATGGAGCAGCAATTCATGTCATTTGCTGGGATGATATTTCTGTAGGGCCTTAATGAGCCAGATGATTTGCAAGCCTGAAAACAACACTGTGCAACTTCTGTGCTTATAGCTATTTCTGCTGTGGAAAATCCTGGGATTTCTTTCTCTTGACTTTGAAAAATATGATCCACGTACAGTCTAAACTAGTTAAGTCCAGCTTGGCTTGACCAGATTTACAGGTAGGAATAGGAACCAAAATAGTAGCTTCAATGTAGACATGTGCATAGTAAGAAAGCCCAGACTGCTGCATCAAATTGGATTGTGAGTACTGATCCCCTCTGAGGCAGATTTCACTGTATTAGTTTGTTTTGTTTTCACCTGATTACAGAACACTGTCTGAGTGTACAGTGTTACAGCTTTTTAATTAGAGTCACAAACGATAACTTAGGAATACAGTGCTGCAGAGTATTTACAAATGAATTACAAAAATACAGGAGTCCCATTTGTATGTAAATATTTGTTTTCTCCAAGCAAATCAGAATGGTGTTATTCTTCATTACAAAGTGTATTCTGCAGCTATAGTGTTCTTATTCCAACAAGGATGATTATAGAAGCACATGGCAGTGGAGAATTGGCTGGCTGATGCTTCCAAAGCAATTAAGCAGCACTGAGTTGGAACCATCTGAGTAAATAGATTGATGAAAATTCAGTCAAAAAAAATGAGGAAAAGACCATTTAGGTCATCTACTTTATTGCTGTTTCCTAAAGTATGTTCTCAATTACTTGTTGTAGATACCCAAAGCGCCACAGCTGCCAAAATGTTCCATTGGAATAGTCATGCAGTCCAATATATGTTTAGTAGTTTTCTTAAGTGATAAGCAGCATTAATTTCCTTTTGCTAATGCCATCTTTTTAATTTTGTCATTTTAAGATTGCCTCAAAACAATTCTTTCTTTATCCAGAAGAAAAAAGTTGAAGCAGAATTAAAATGTGGTGACTGAATTATTTTCTATGTCTTTTCTTGATAACCACTACAAAGTACTTAACAAAGATAAGTCAAAACATCGTCTCCTTTTTTCCTTCTTTGTCTTGTATCTTAGACCGGTAGCAAGCTTCTTAACATTGTTTACTAGTCACTCACTGCATTTTATTTTTAAGTCATTATACTTTTTCAAGACACGTGAACAAAGTCTTCATTAAGTTAAACACTCTTCTTGTTGTTAATATTTTTATATAAATATCTCTCTTATTGATGATCTTGTAGGTCTCACCCTGGCCATGGACTGATGGCTCTTTGTGGCAGCTCTGGCAGGAGGTGGAGCAGGGGCTCCACTAACTCTGATCAGGTTGATGGGGATTCTTCCATCTCCTGTTTTTTCTCTGTGCTTCTTTACATACATATACAAATATGAACCCTTAATCACATAATCTAACACTGCCCTACTCCTCTTCTCTTGGAAAATCAGGCTACTTGGTACCAAGGCATTAAAGATAATAAGTAAAAAATACTTTGCAGAAAAGTGCCATTTTAAGATCAAGGATTGTGTTGCAACTGGAGTATTGGAATGGATTTTGTGGACTCTGTATAGCAGTTCTCAGAAACAACATCCCATTACTGCTCCATTATGAACTATGGAGAAGGCTTAGTGAAAGGAATAAGAATGATTATCCAACCAAGCATTCCTCATTACTCAACAGCTGGAAAGTAAACCCACATGTGAATGGAATACTGATAAAAGATTTTCTGTTAGTTGGATTTTTTTTTTTCCCTGCAATAACATTTTTTATAGAGTCTTTGTTTATTTGGAATCAGGAACAATTTGAAATGTTTTTAGTGAAACCAAAGCAAATTTAGTCATAGCTCAGCTCAAATTGTGACAAAAGATTAAAGTTTGACTCGTTGTTTCTAACATGTGATTTTTTTAGTAGCATTTCCTCATCCAAACAAAAAGAAAATTGAAGATCACAGAATTCCTTCCCATTACCAAATATGCTGTTAATGTCTTCAGGCAAGAGCTCTCTCAGAGCTGTAAATTTTCCTCTGCATCCTGTGTGATATTGTTTCCAAATGCAATTAGCTTTTTAGCCCTTTACTTTTCTAAGACATGACTGAGACAGTGGTGATTTAACTTAGCTTAGATTTCTAGGGTTTTGGGGGGGGGGGAGTTGTTTGTTTGTTGGGGGTTTGCTTGTTTGGTTTGGTTTTGGTTTTTTTATATTTGAGCCTAGATTTGATCCTGAGAGGTACTGTTAGTCTGTGAAGAGAGAACAGTTGATGCAATACTCTTAAATTACCTGCTCTGGTTCTTCTTTTTTATACTGGGATTTATGCAAGATAACCACCCCAATTAAAAACTGAAGTGGAATGAAGAGTCTGTTCTGTCAGTGAAAATAAAATCAGAAATCCTAGTAAACAGACAGAGGAAAATCAAAACTTATATTAACAGTAGAGAGCATGAGCTAAAACCGTGTTTGTTCTTTTGGGGCTTTATATGATGGTTTCTTTTAATGTCACAACAGTGATTATGGATATGAACGCCACAGCAATGGCCAATGTTTACCAGCATTCTGGTATAACCCATCTTCCTTGTCAAAAGACTGCAGCCTTGGACAGAGTTACCTCAACAGCACTGGGTAAGTGGCTCACCAGGCTTTACTTAGCTAGAGCACCCATATGGATTTAATCCAATGACAACTACAGATTATACCTGTAGATGTGCCAAAGCTGGCTGAAGCCCTTAGGACACTTTCATCACCACCTTTGTTGGGTTGCACATCTGTCACTCCAGATCTCCATCATGTATGGCCCAAGTTTTTCTCTGGAAGATGATGCCTTAAAATAAAAAACTGGGGGGAGACTGTAAGGTCAAATCATTAATGTTTCTGGAAAGACTTCCCTTAAAATCCTGTGAGATCAGGTAAGGCAGAAACACTGGAAGATAAATTAGTGGAGAGAGATGAAAGTGATGTCCATGTGAAGTGAAGTAATAGATGGGCAGCTAGCCTGAATGCTGACTGTTCTTTGGCCCTCTAGGGAGGCAATGGAACATGTAGTTTAAGTTAAGATCCTGGCAGACTTCATTTATTATACAAGTGATTAAAGCAAACAAAGCAATCCAAGCTGTGTTTGGAGGGTTTGTACACTGTACATTGTACCCAAAACCTAAATTTCCCACCTAAGTGATACACCTACACTACTCTCTACAATCTACTTCACACTCTAGTGGATTCTAGTCTGTCTTGAAGCTTAGGAAACTTTCTCCATGAGTGAGGGTCAAAGTCAGTGTTCCCCTGGGGGTCAGGGCACGGCAGAGCAGACAGGGAAATATTCCCTGGGTTCCCACACTCTGTCTCCCTTGGCAGGTACCGGAAGGTTGTTTCCAACAACTGCACGGACGGGGTGCGGGAGCGCTACACGGCCAAGCCCCAGCAGTGCCCGGGCAAACCTCCGCAGGGGCTGCGCATCCTCACGGCCGACGGCCGCCTCACGGCCCAGCAGGGCCACAACGTCACCTTCCTGGTGCAGCTGGAGGAGGTGGGATCCGTGGGACATTCACCCTGGGTGTATCTGAGTGGGAATCATGCCAGGAGAAGTTTGCAAAGAGGGTGGTATAAAAATGTTTGCAAGGCAGGATGGTATGAAGTCAGTCACGGCCGGGATGTATCTGGGTGGAGTTTGCTCCAAAATGTATGGAGATGAAAGGGGTGTCATTGTGGTGCCCAGGGTAATGTCTGGGAGAAGTTGATAAAACCTGGGAATGGGTTTAGTTTGGGAATTTCACAGGAGAGCTGAAGACTGCAGGTTTGAATTCTGATCCCCCATCCTTAATTGTGTTTTTTGCTTCCTGCTGGTTTTTGAAACTGAATTTACATATTTGTTTTCCACTGGCTTTAAACCAAAGATGACAAATAGTACATGTGCAGCTGGGTCCCCATCACACAAATCGGTACATATTGTTTAGGCATTTATGGGTGAAATCTCAAGATGTCCTCAGCAGGTCTAAGTCTGAAATTCATTGCTATTGTGAAGCTGATTTGGGCTCTGATCTCTGTTTTTATTATATCTGTAACTTAACTTGGTATTTCATTGTTCCGCTCTCTCCATTCCTGAATCCATAGAAAAAGGTATTTAAATCTTTTCAACTCTTTCTTCTTTTCAGCACTTCTCTATCTGTGTTTAATTGCAGGTGCACAAGCAGAACATTCACAAAGAAGTTTTCTCTTTTTCCATAATCTAATTTGATTTCTTTAAACTTCTACCCCTTTTCCTCTCTTACTGGCCAATAAATCCTAAAACAAGTATGCTTTAATACCAAGGGACAATGTCCATCCCTTTATAGTTTAGAGTATTCAAGGGACAATGTGCATCCCTTTTTAGTTTAGTGTATAATTTGGAGTATTCAAGGAAATTACTTCTCACCCTCTCCATAGTAAATGTCATGTCTGAGGAAAGAAATTTTTTTACATCTCTATTATTGATGCTTTCCCCAGCAAACTGATGTTGTGATTTGTAAAGGCAATACCATATGATACATCATACCTAACCCAAAGCAGTTTTTGACCTGAATGTTTATTTTCTCCAAAATATGGTCACTTTGTTTCAGTCATACAGCATTGCTACTCTTGTGCTGTTACAGTGTGAACATATAATTTCATCTGGTTAAGTTATTGATTTCTGCATTTAAAGATGAAAAGGAAAGGGTCTAAAACAAGAGTCAGTCTCCAGGCTTTAAAAAAAAAAAAAGAGGAAAAAAGTGCACTTTCCATCACCCTTCTCTTCTGAGCAAAGTTTTAAAACAGACTGGGAGAAGGAGATGGATAATCTGAATAGTCAGTCACAAAACTATCAAAGAGTTATGCCAATAGTCAGAGGGAGAGACAATTACCCACAGTGTGGGAGACTCAGGACAAATGTCCTGCTCTTTCTTCTGTGAGTGCTTCAGCTCACATATCTGTAAGAGAACTTTGACCACTCTGTCATACAGGGAGCTGCTGTGCATTGTTCTCTCTCTTTTGTTCATTCTGATCTTTTCTGGCAGCTCTGCTTCAGTGTGCACCAGAGTCTGGAAGGAACACCTTCTCCAGTATGAGATGGTGCCTCTCTCATGCTGGGTGTCAAGGAGTACAGAACAGATGTTTTGATAAGTGAGTGAGTCAGTTCTGAGGAGATCTAAAGGGAGCTCTTCTTCCAGTGTATCTGATAAGGAAGAGGTTAGGAATTGCTCTGAGGGCTGAAACAGTATTGATCAGCCTCCAGCCTTTCCAATTACTCTTCCTGTTAGATGAATCTTGACCTCCTGCTCCTAGATTTGTCAACTTAAAGAGCAACCAACAAAACCTTTGGGCAAATTTTACCCTGTCTAGTAATGACTTTATGTGGGTGTTGCAACAAAAGAAGTATTCAACAAACAGGAATATTTGCCCAGTTATGTGCAAGCTGTAGGGGAATAAAATGTAGTTGAAGCAACAGAACTGTGTGTAGACTAAACCATTTACCAATTTAACTGTTTCAGTGACAAAAAATCCACCACTCACTAGGAAAGTTAAACAGCCCATCAAAAGAACAAGTATCCTTTTATAAAATGGATATTGATTTCACAGAATAATTGAGGTTGAAAGGGATCTCTGGAGGTTGTTTAATCCAACCCTGCTTCTCAAAGGGAAGTTCCTTTCCCTTGCATACAAGGCAGAAGTATCACAAGACAAGAATTTGCCAAATTCTATTCAGTTCTGCCCTGCACAGGTGCATAGCACAGTACAATCCAGGATGATCAGTATCCAAAAAATCTGTGCCACTCCATTTTTACTGAGGGGAAGAGATCAGGAAAGTTAAAAAGGGCTGGATATGTCACCTTGACCATATTTTCCTGCAACAGCATGTGAAAAAAGTGTGTCCTATTCAACCCTTGCCCCCTGGAGTGGTGGGCAGTATTTTAGAGTGCTACACCCTGGTGAGGACTCCTCCTTTAGTGTGAGTGACAGCTGATATCTTTCAGGGTGTAAAAAAGCAATGGCCTTTTCTTTTGCATCTTAACATCTCCTGTATCCCTCTGAGACAGTTTGTTTGAAGCCTTCAAATCTGCAGAGCTGTTTCATACACTGCAGCCTCCTGGCTCTCTTTTTTCATGTCCATGTTCCACTTGATCGGCAGGAAAAGGGGAAAAAATAAAGAAAAGAGAAGCTGGTGAGCCAAGGTACAAGAGTCTGTTTGAGTTTTGTACTCTTGTTATCTTTCTAGGGCTTTCTGCTCCATCTAGGAATCCACATGGGTTTCAAAAGAGGACAAACTACAGAAGCAGGTTCACTGGAGGCCCTGAAAATTCACTGTGTCTCTGTAGTGGAGCAGATTGCTAAGAGGGCAGGGAGAGACAAATGGCAGCAGTAAAAAGCTGATGTTTTCACTCAGGTGTGGGATTCAGGGGCAGGAACCACAGCACAGTGGTTCCTTGTAGAGCCTGGTTGTGCCTGTGGTGATGCTGAGAGCCACGACTGTGCATTCTGACAAAAACATAATGTGAGCAAAAGATGCCTCAAGAGAAGCAAGGACAAGGTGTTCAGAAGTGTTCTGCTATTGAAGAAGACACAAAATCATCACTGAAGTCTGTGCAAGTGGAGGGAGGGCAGGAACCAAACCCAGGAACACACTGAGCATTGCTGATTTCTGAGCTGGGATTCTGGCCCATTTTCTCTAACCCTCACTCACATGACATCTTCCTGTGAAGCATTTATATCTGGCAGCATATAAATAACATTAAAAGCGAACCCAACCAACAGGTCATATTTAAATCATCTGAAGATGATTTAAAGAATTCTTTCAAAAGTGATCTAAGTCACCTGTCACCTTTTAGAATTACTAAATTGCTTGCAAGGTCACCTTGCACTTAATATTTATGGTCCCATTATTGGAAAGGTTTGGCCAAGTTATTTGTCCAGTTAATCTGGGTATAATCATCATGGTATTTTTAGTGGGTGACAATAGCCAGGAATCATCAATATTGCCTTTACTAACTATCATGTATTGCATTTTATGAAGTATTTTGGAAGTGTTTAATAAGCAAGGCATCATACTTAAGCTGGGAATTTTGTTCTTAAATTTCCATGAGATAAGCAGAATACCAACAGCATTTTTGTCATTGTGTGACAGCACATGAGACAATTAGCTATGCTTAAAAGCAAATTTTTCATTGCCTAAACATACTGCCAGTTTAAAGGTAAATCCTTTTCCCTGGCCTGGGCTACATGCAGAGGCTCAGGGCTGGTACCTCTCACACTGCAGCATTCAACAAGAGTTGTTTATCTCCCTAAAAGGCTGAATCCTTGCTTTGTTTTTGGACAGCAACCAAAGAAATCCAAACTGCAAAGTTACGAAGGCACTTTTCCTACTTAACTTGTTCAACCCAATATCCTTGACATGTTTTGCTTCTCTGTTGTAGAAAACAGAGGGATTTTATTAAGTGTGTGTTGTTTCTGTGTGCCTTCCTGATCACATGGTGATGTAGGTCTCTTGCCTGTCACAACCACAATTGTTATTTGTGTGCTGGAGTTATGTGTGTGAACATCAGACACTTGTGCTGCTGTGCTGCTTCAGCAGAGACCCTGAAAGCTGCAGCCTCCAGAGCAATGCTGCTCTGCACAATGCCTTTCAAACTTGTTTCATCCCATTGCTCACACATCTTTGCTGAGGAAATGGATGGTAAAGACATTCAGGACAGGAAGGTTCAGGGCTTTGACTGTTTCATTACAGATAATTCACAGAGAAACTGCCTCCTCTAATTTATTTTTTATCTTGATAAAATGACAGCAAAAAATCTTTGACATTCCAGTCTGCCTCAGTTCTCACTTGGCAAAGTCACTCCACTGGGAGTAGGTTTTGGCTTGCTTTTAACTGCTTGCTGCTGCTGTGTGATGTTTGGATTAGACTAATGTGTGGGGAAAGCTAATTTGTTCCTACACTTCAGGCCACAGGCTACAATTCAGGCAATCTGAACTCATTCCTGAACCGCACTCTGAGCTCCTTCTGCATGACCTTGAGCAAGAAACTTAAACTTTCTGATGTTTTATTCCCTTCTGCCTCATACCCCCCATGCCTTGCATTTGTGTAGTGATTGCTCATGAATCCAGAGGACTCTCTCCTACCATGTGAACATACAAATGAAGCCCTGAATTTCCTAAAGAGTGCTGTGGCTCTCTGTAATGACAATGTTGATACATGGCTGTACAAGGTACACTGTGCCTTGGGTACATTTAATGAGCTTGGGGATCCTGCTGGGGGCACAGTGCCATTAACATTTCCCACCTCAGCACTATTGTTTGGTGCAATTCAGTATTCACCTCAGCTGAAGTATCTGGAGATGAGCTTAGCATTAGGATTGTTTCGATTGTTGATGTACTCAAATTAAAGATGCAAAGCTTGTAGTAATTAAAAGCATAGTCTGTATTTTTTTTTTTTGATGGTATCCCACTGTGTTCCCTCTTTTGATATCACAAGTTTGTTAGCAATGATTACAGAAATATGAAACCTTCATCCTAACTTTCAATGCACATGCTGAATCACGGCTGTTTATCTTAAGATAACGATACGTTTATCGTATCGTTATTACTCCTGTAATAACACACAAATAACACAGAATGTACCCTCCCCTGTACCACTGTCATCTGAATTATAATTGCATTTTCTGATGAGGACAAGCTGGTTGGGAGAAATCAGAGCCTTTCATGCATTTTTAAATTCATTGTTGAAATTCCATGAAAATGTATGAAAGTGGACCTTGCCTTCCTAATGACACGCAGCACTACAGTCTTGTAATGCACTTCCAGTCCCACAAGTTGAATTATTCTGCATAATCCTGAGAAGCTGTTATTGATTCCTGTGGGGCACAGAAGATCTAGTACTGTAAAAAGAGCTCATAGCTGAGTTGAGCTGCCACAACTGGCAGTCAGGATGAATTATGTGATCAGTACAATTCACTATTTGGTATTGAAAAAGAAGTACATGTGAAAAGTATCAAGCTATTTGCCCTACTAAAAGGCACCTTTCTGTTCGGTTTCTGATTTGAAAAATTAAAGCCATCTCTCTGAAAGCAGGGATTTGCACAGAAAAGCATGTTTTTAAGTTCTTGATCAAATTGGATCTGAGTATCTGCTAAAAATTAAGAATATACTTTAAACAGATCTAGATTAAATGTATGCCATGCGTAGATATTTAGTTCCAGTAAAAATATCCTTGATAAATGATTTCTTTTGGTGACAGGAACATGCCAAAGAGGGAAAGGGGTTAATCTAAAGAAAGCACAATGAATTAATCCATGAAAACCTCCAACAGCAGCCGTATCTGTTTCTTGCAAAGGATAATTAAATCTATTGTCAACATCTCTAAGGAAGACACAGAAGTCGGTGCATAATTAAAGACTTAAAAATGAAATCTGAAACATGGGAACCAAAATTATACATCTTGAGCTTTGTTCCATTTTTTAATATTTAGATACAAATACTCAAAGTCAATAAGGAATATGCATTATTACAACTTTCAGGGCAAGATTACAGTGGTGTGTTTGAGAGAATCCTGCTAGGTGGGTCTCACATTTCACATCCACCAAAATATTGAGAGATGCATAAAAGTAATCAAAATATAAAAATATTATTGCAAACTGTATGAGATGTTTCTTGATATACCCTGAGGCAGGAAGCTTCCCAGAGTTTTTTGGTAATGTCCAGGTCTTGTGTACACTCAAGATGCAGGAAAAAGGTGCACTTGGCTTAGGAGGCAGGACCAGGAAGGAGGGAGAGAGGAATATTTTGTATATGCTTGAAAAAAAACCCTGGACATTTAATGAGAAATACCTTAGAAAATAGTCAATTTCTGATTTACATTTTAGTAACTAATGTTGTCTAGGTAGGTAAAGGGTTTAATATGGGGCCTTGGCAAACTTGTTTTTAGTTATGAGGGCTTCTTTTCAGGCTAAAAGTTCTTAAAGCTCAGCATATGTTTAAACCTTTAGCTGCACAAAAGCCTTTATCAAGATTGCAGAGAAAGGGGTTAATCTAAAGAAGACACAATTAATTAATCCATGAAAACACTCCAGCAGCAGCAGTGTCTGTCTCCTGCAAGTAATGCAGGGAGTTTTGCATCTGCCTAATTTGGGCTAAAAGCTTCAGAAAAATCCTATTGTGGAGTACTGAGCTTGACAAAATAAAAAGGAGAAGCTGAAAAAAGCAACAGGAGGAGTTTTTGCAAGATGTATGGATAGGCATCAAATTGTTGCAGAACAAAACTTCTCTTGTTAAAGCAAGCTCTTGCCAGTGGCTCTGGAGAGATGCTGGAGACAAGAGACAGTGACAGTTGGGTTGGTTTAAATCAGGTGGGCTATGTGGGAAATGTTTGGATTTTGGCTCATCTGCTTTCTCTTCCTGTCTTACTCTGCCTGTGCTCTTACCTGGCACAGATAAAATATTAGAACAAGTCAAAACACAGTCTCTTTGTTTCCTGACTTTTCTCTCCCATTTCCTAAGCTAGAATTTTTAATGTCAGATTTCCAAAATGTGGCATTTTCAGAGGAGTGTTGCAGCCTGGATCTTACTGACTGGAAAATGTGTTTCCAGTTCAAAGGGTTTTAAAACAGGAAAGGCTAAAACAAATAAAAAAAGACTGGGGGAACAGCAGCTGAAGTTTTTCTCTAATTAGATTTTCAGTTGTTTCTGTCAGCATCTTCTCTACCTAGGAATTGAAATCTAAATCTTGCACACCTTAGAAATGGCTCCTTTCCCTGGATACACCTGTAGGCAGCATGAGTTTCATGGCCATGGACAAAATGAAGACAAGAGGAGAAAAAGGTTCATTAGAACACAAATTTTGACAGTTGCAGAAATGAGGCTATTCTGTCACCCTTTTCATCTTCTGCTGCTACCTCAGATATGTGGAGGAATATTCCACAACCTGAAACAACGTTCAGCTGCATGGCCTTGAATATCCTCAGAGCTGGTAAATCCAGCAGGGTCGCTATGGTGGCACAGTTTTAACCATGTGAAAAGCTTTTCAAAGACATATTCATAGACATCATCTCCTTTTGAGTAAGAAAAGACAGCTAAAACCCTAATAATGATGGACCTGGAGGCATTGGAGAGCATTGAAGGGTACTTCAGAGATCTCTGTATTTGGTCTGCGTCCTGCACTGGACTTGAGATAATAGTCCTCCTCTGAAAGATGTTCAGAGGTCATGTGTGTTCACTTCTGGCTGTGGAAGCAAATCCCATTTGGTAGCTTCTGTTGGCTCAGTCAAACAGACACGAGTGCCCAGAGCATTGCATCATGTTTGAATCTGCACATCTTTCTAATAACTCAGCTCAACAAAGGACAGAACTGTGTTCTTCACACCATTTCCCCTGCCACAACTTCAGTTTGGGATTCTCCACAACAGAGCAACAGAGTTATTTTTGTCTCATCTATTTGGAAGTAACAGAGCTTCCAGCAGGGTGCCAGGGCAGTGTAAAAACAACTTTAGTCTATTAAAAGAAAGCATCTGGGAAAATTTGTTGCTCTTGCCACCATCAGGTATAGCTCTGCTCTTTTTGCTTTCCATTCAGGCAAGCCTCCACTATTTCTGCCTTCACAACAAGTTATAAAAAGACTGAGGGAACATGAGGAATAGAAAAGTTCTGTTACAATTTCCTCTTATAGTCACATACATTCACTTCTCTTTCTGGTGTGGATACCTGCCTGATGCCATCCATTCACACAGGTACCTTTCATTCCAGAAGGGAAATTGGGCATCCAGAGGACTGTCTCTCTGTCAAAAGAAAAAAGGGAGAAAAAGGAAGAAAGAAAAGGAAGAGGAAACAAACCCAAAGTAAATGAAATGTCCTTTCAGCCAATTTTTTGAAAGGTTATTAATGATCAGCTATTAATTTTCCATCATTCCAGGTAGTGCCCATTGCTTCAGTGCACCCGGCTGGAGAGGTGCTCCACAGCAGTAGCCAGCAAGGGTGAGCACAGGCAGCATGAGCACCATGCAGAGCCACAGGGGGATTTCCTGGGGGGTGAGGATGTCCAAAGGTAAGGCAAGATGCTGCATCTCACATGAAAGGGAGGGATCTTTAGCAGCCATGGCTGTTTGACAGGTCAGTGCAGGCTGTTCCTCTGGTACATCAGACCTCGTTAGTATTTTCTGGTTGCTCTCACTCACCCCACTGATCCTGTCTCTCAAAAGCAACACAGAGTCTGTTTTGATCCTTTCTCTTCCACCACAGGGAGACCTCCAGAGATCCCTCATCCAGGTGGATTTTGGAGATGGCATCGCTGTGTCATATGCCAACCTCAGCTCTACAGAGGATGGGATCAAGCACATCTACCAGAATGTGGGCATATTCCGGGTGACCGTGCTGGTGGAAAACAGCCTGGGCTCTGACAGTGCTGTCCTCTACCTTCATGTAACATGTATGTATCTTCATACCCCTTGTTAGCTGCTGGTTTTCTTTTAGAATTATTTTTTGGAGCTAGAGGTGATGTTTGGAATTTGGCAGCTGGGTCCAGAGTGGTGGGAAATGATGAGCGTTCACGTGTCCTCCGGACAGACTGTTGATTCCAGACTGAGAGGAAACATTGATTCGTTAAGGTTGGAAAAGACCGCTAAGATTATTGAATCTAATCAATAACTTTTGCTTTTTTAATCATGTTTTACCTCTAGTTTTGGATAGTCTAATTTGGGACACCTCAAAGGACTGTCCAGCCCTTTCTGAAATGCACTTTCATTATCAAGCTTACACTTCCAGAACAACAAAGACACCCAGGGATCTTTAATGACTTTTAAAAGCTTTGAATTTTACTTTGAGCATGTTTTGCTCTCTAATGAAACACACCCACCTCTGGGATGGAAACCAGTGCTTTTCAGTGTTTCTGTTGTCATAGGAACCAAAATCTTTGTATTAAATAGTACTGCCAAAAAAAAAAAATATCCTCACATTGCTTTTCTGCTATCCTTTTTAACCTTTTCATACTTCATATGTGTCTGATTTACAACTGAAATGTATCCCAAGTTCTTGGATAAAAGGAACATTGTATCCTTTCATATTTATTCTAGCACATGGTTATGAACCTATGAACCCAAAGAGTCAATCTGTTTATCAAAATTTTGTAACATTCTTAACGGATTTTGTTTGGGGCCATAATTTTCTTTATACAGTGGGTTTTTTTGTTTGTTATTTATGTTTTCACTGTGTGCCTCTGTGCCAGATTTACTAAGAAAAAAAGGAAATTCCAAAACCTGAAGTTACATTTACAGAAATATTATTTACCACCTACCAAACTTACTCCACATATTGTGTAGATGGTTTGGCACATTCCGTACACTTACCTCTAGTTTTGGGGTTCACACAGCATGAAAGCAGCTACCTTTTCAGGGTAGGAGAGCAGCTCTTTAATGGAGAACCATTGTGTCTACAGATGGGAACAGTGGGAGGCAGGAGTGTAGGAGATGGGATTTTTATGAAGGAGGACTAGAGCAGGAACAAATATCCCCCTGAATGTCCCCCTTCAAAAACACCTTTGGTTGGCAGGTGTCCAGCCTTCACTCACTCATAGTGTCCTTCTGGTCTACAGCTGCTCTAAATCATTCTCTTGAGACACTGAAGGTGTATGAACCATTTTGTTTGTTTAAGCTGTACAAGAAATAAACAATATTTGGATTTGTTTGTATGACTTAGCAGCTGATAGTGTACATTTCTGTATTTTACATAGATAATGCCAGCACAGGATTTAAACACTGAGTGATCATTGCAGCCAGGCCCAGATTATGTGTGTCAGAGTCCCTGGAGAAGTGACAGCTTTAAGGGATATGTCTCACCTTTCTCTACATGACAAGAATTTGAGGCTGCAAAACAGGTTAAAAATGAGCATGCTGCCATTCAGGCTAGCAAGAGACTTGCTGAGGACAGGGATGTACAGTTGATCCAGCCCCCTCCAGAGTCTAACAGCCTGATCCACAAAAGCTTCTAAATCCTATTTCAAAGCTTGCATTGTCACTCAGCCCTCTGCTGAATATTCTCCTTGGGGTGTTTGAACTTGGCCTTTGGGGAGTTTTGCAAAAATACCAGTCCTTAAAATAGACATACATGCTGTATTGTAAGATCCACAGATAAGCAATGTGCAGCCTGAACATCCGGAGTTTTAGGAACAGCTACAAACTGGGTGATCTCTGGGTACAGGGTTAATACATGAGTGTCTGCAGCTAGGGCTGGGCCTTCCAGCTCCTTCCTTACCTGTGGCCAGCGCTCCTCCTGCTGGAAAAAGCTGCAGGCACTGAACCTTGGTGCTTGTGGTGTCAAAGATAAAAGTAAAGCCTTCATCCCATGCTCTCCTCATCCTCCTGCAGTGCCTTTCCTCCAGTTGCTCCAGGGATCCAGAAATGCAGGTTACTGTGAGGCAGGAGCATTTTGAGTTGGATGGACAATAGAAACTGTTGTATGTAAAATGCTCAAGCCAAGAGCCTGTCTCTTGGCTGTCATGTCAAAATTTTCTCTTGGAAAGTTAGTTATGGAATTGCCTGGATGCTTCAGAATAACATCACCTGTGCAAGTGAGCCTTTTGAGAAGTTTCTCCCTTTCAGCTTTCTGGAGCTTGTACAGTACTTTTTCCTGGGACAGATGAAGGCCATAGCCTCCATAGCCCTGCATGAAGCTCAGAAATTAATGTTCTTGAATCCTCTTCAAGCTTACCTGGGAGAAACAGTCTCCTACCAGGAGGGCCTATCCAGAGTGAGCTATCCCCATCTGCTGGCCAGATACTAGCTCAGCGTTTCAGCCTCCTTGACCCAGCTGTGCTGGAAAATGCTCAGGCAGAATTGGGTTGCTTGAGCCATTCTTTCATATCCCTTCCTAGCCACTCTGTGGGGAAGGTCCACGGAGGTGCTGGGCACTCTCTGCCATGCAGGATCATCTGACATCTGTTCAGAGCAGTGATGCAGTAATGTTGGAGAGTATCAGACTCTTCATGGGCTCCATCATTCCAGTTGTCACTGCATTTAGCTGGGGAAATTGCCATTTTTCGGGCCTTAGGGTCTTGCTGAAAACAGGAACAGTGTCGTGGTGGAAATGGATCTGAGAAGGAGGATGCCATTAAAATCACAAGGGTGAAATTGTGGCATCTCGTGAATTTCCAAGAGTGTTGACTGCTGCTTATAAAAGGCAAAACAAGCCATTGTCTCATGCATAGCAGGCTTTGGTTAATATGATCATGGATAACTCTTAATTGGGCTGCTTCAGCTTAAGCAGTGGCTGTGTTTACAATCCAGGGAACGATGCATTTCAGTAATAAATCAGGAACACTGATCCTTATTCTGGCATTGTTTATACAGTCTGATTTGGGAGAGGTTTTTTTCCTCACTCTGCCTATTGTGTTATACAGGATGTTTTCTCCTGTATGATGTTCATTTAGGCTGAAAAGCAATGTCTAAGTGGTGATTCATGCATGGGGTGTATCCTGAAAGATCCTCCCTGGAAATACATCTAGCAGTGCATCTCCACTCCATATGAACAATGCAAGGCTGTGGTTCTCATCACTGGGGAGCTCACAGATAGAGGATGTGTAGATGTGGCCTTATTTGTTTAAGGAACCCATGTCCTCGTGTGACCTGAGGTTTCTTTATTTTTCTTTCCCTGTCACTCAGGACAGTGGCTTTGTTCTCTTAGTGAACAGTCAGAACACATTTTAAAAATAATCTATAGAACAAGATTTAACAACAAAGGCCCATCTGTTTCCAGAAGATGGGAAATGTGTAACCCTGGGCATAATGTCACTTGTCGTATGAATTATGTTCTGTTTATACTGAAGAAATAAAAGAGTTTATTGATGAAAAGGAGGGAGTATAAGGTAACAATAAAATGCAGGCACTCAGTGAATAGCTGCCTTCAGAAAGAGTTTCTGCTGAAGTTCACCAAATCATAGCAGTTTTCCAGCAAAGATGCTTCACATCTGCTGAAGCCCTTTGTCCTGCACATTCTTATGTCTTCCCAGTGAAGGCCACACTCACACAACAGGGCTCTGTCCCTATTGTAAAAGTCATATAAGCTCCTGATTTTATGACATTCATGCAGTAGAGAGTCCAAGTTTTTCAGCTCCAGGTACAGGGGTGGCTCCTGTTCTCTGAGGAGCAGATTTAAGCCTTCCTCTCTACAGGAAAACAAAGCCCAAACATTCTGCCATGTCCCGTAGTGATTTAGGGAAGACTTTTCTTCCCTAAACCAATGGATATCCCACCCAGGTTGACTTTCCAGATGGAGAGAGGGCTCACTTGCTGCTTCTGTTTCTGCAGGCCCCTTGGAACACGTTCACTTATCTCTGCCCTTTGTCACCACGAAGAACAAGGAGATCAACGCCACAGCAGTGCTGTGGCCAAGCCAAGTGGGAACACTCACTTATGTCTGGTGGTTTGGGAACAACACAGAGGTTTGTATTCCTGATGGACTGAGGTCAAAGTAACCCTGGAGGAGCGCTCTGACAGAAGAGGGAGGGAGAGAGGGATCTGGGAATGCTTCTACGTAGTCACATATGCAAGAAAATTATAAACCAAATACTGAGATACTAATGGGCCTTGGAGGTAATGACATGGAAATGTAAGTAGTGCTTTGTGTTTGTGGCTGTGACTTAGCTGCAGGGTTTATGTCTATTTCATGCAAGGTGCCAATAGCTTTCTTCCTTAATTCCATCCAAGGTGAACAAGTTAACCAAAATCTGGAAGAGTTTCTACTGTTTCTCTTCACCCTCCTTTCTTCAGTAACAAGAAGAAAAAAAGTAGGGGCTTTTGGAAGTCTTTTTTAGGAAAACAACCTTTCAAGCTGAAACTGTTTTATATCTGGAACTGACCTATGCTGAGCCCAAGCACCCTATGCTAAACCATATGTGCAAAAGGACCTTATTATCATGTGCTATGGGTATGAAATGGTTCCCAACACACCTCCCTGCCCCAGGGCTCTGCTCAGATATGAGAGTATCATCCATCACATTCTGCTGCCTCTGTGCTTGCAGCCCTGGTAAATCTGCATAGACATTAGAACTGTTACTTCACATATAATTGTGGCTAAAGTACCCAGAAACCCTAATTAGTTTCTGAGGGGAGAGGTTGTCATGGATTTTGTAGAGCCAAGAGGGACTTTCATAATCACACATTGTTCTCTTCTGTATAATTCAGATTGGAAAGTTTGATCAGTACCTTCTCCATTATTTAACTTTTTGTGACCGGGGCAGGACCTGACTTTTTGTTGTTGTTGTTGTTGTTTTGCATTAATAATTTTCCTCAGATGATAGAAAATGCACTGCTTGTCCTTCTGACCATCTCCTTCAACTATTTCCCCACAGCTAATTATTCTGAGCTTTGAACTCATGCACCGTGTTTGTAGTCTGAATTTATCTAGTCTGGGATTCAAGCTGTTGGATCTTGTTATGCCTTTTTGTGTAGATTAAAGAACTCTCTGTTCTATCAGCAATCATCTCCCCCTAGAGGTACTTAGAGGCTGTGATTGTCACCTTTTAACCTTCCCTCTGATCTCCTAAGCTCCTAAGTGATCAGGGTTGGTCTAATTCTGTTCTCATTGAAGCGTGAGTTTCACTATAGACTACAATGGCAACAGTTTGACTTAATACTGGGTGCTTTGAAGATCTCATCCAGAAGTCATTAACAAGTGAAAAGAGAAGTTAAGGCAGAGTCTGCTGGAGGACACAACTCATTGATGAACTTGTTCACAGCTGAAGGGATCTCTGTCCTCTCAAGCATTAGCAATTAACAAAAACGATGTGTCTCTATCTAAGGATAACATGGGACAGCAAATGTGAAATCTTAATTTGGCTGGTTTTGTGACAACCCCCTTGAGTCACCTTAAATAAAGCACTTACAGTAGATTTAGGAAAGGAGGCTGCTACCTGAGCAGTGAGTGTTGCAGGACTTTATATCAGGATCTGGGCCCCTCTGGGGAGTGAGAAAAGGTGGGCATTTTAACACGGGATCCAGAGCAACCAACATGCCAAGTGGAAAGGAAGCACTGGAATCTTACATAGCTCCTATGGAAATTATAGGTACCTTACTCTGAGCTTCAGGAGAACATCCCTGTCTGGGATTTGTGTGCCCTCCCTAGGAAATTAGCTGCCATGTCACAGGGCCCTTCCTGAGTCTGAAATTTCCAATCTGGAACTAACTCCTCAAACCATCCCAATAGGTTAGAGAGCCAAACTCATTTTTGCTTTTCCTTTCCAGCCAAATTAACTGAATTTTTCCTTTTATGATGTATTTGCAGCCACTGATCACATTGGAAGGGAGCATCACATTCACATTTTCTGTGGAAGGGATGAACACCATCACTGTTCAGGTCTCAGCAGGAAACACCATTCTTCAGGACACAAAGACTATTGCAGTGTATGGTGAGTTCTTCCGCTTTTATTTCACACAGGATTCTCCATACTCAACATTTAGAGAGCCAGGATAGTTGGCAGCAACAAGAGGTCTTTATTCCAGAATGCTTTGAGTGAGATTATAAATTGAATTCCAGTGTTACCAGTCCAGCGTAGTATCTCTGAAGGCCACTGATTGACATTAGTGCAGACTGACATGATTGCAGAACATTGATCTCCTTCCCAGAGCCCTCTGCATGTGCTCCATCATTCTTTGATCATCCTACATGATTGTCAAAATGTTAGTTTATTTTGTAAGCTGGTTTTCCCCCTTCTTGGCCAGCAGAGGCCTCTTAACTCACACAAAAGCTGCTCAGCTTGAAAGATAAATCAATGCTGTGTGCTGCAGTTCTGCACAGAAATCTGCACTAATTTGACATTGTTCTCACGTGTCAGAAGCAGTTAGGGCACAGAAATACCATAGAGTGTAGATGGAGCCTAAAACCCACTGGGAATCCCAGTTTTAGCTGATAGTGATCAACGTGGGCAGCTCTGTTAACAGCAACAGAGATTAGGTACATTTTCCAAGGCTAGTCCTCTCCCCATATTTATCCCTGTTCCCTTCCAATTAAGATCTCTAAGGTTTGGGGCACATCTGTGAGAGCCCAATCACAGCTTCCTACACAGGGTGTGCCTGCTCCAGAAGTCAAATTGAAGGTAACAATTTACATTCCCAACACAGCTCCCTTTGCAGTGCTATTCATCCACTCAAGTAAGGACTGATCACTTTTTCCCTTCCAAGGCACTCAAGTGATGAATCTCTGAGATTCTCCACATCTCTCACTGAGTCTCTCTGGTGCACTGCTGGATTTCCTCACAGTCTGTGCACCATCTGCAAATTGATTAGGCAAAACACGAGCTGCACCAGGTTTCACAAGGTTCTGCCCTCTCATTTGGCATTAAGGCATTTCAGTCTGTACTCACCACTCTGCCATTGTATCTGCAGAGAAATTTCAGTCCCTGAGGTTATCGTTCTCTCCAAACCTGGATGACTACAACCCAGATATCCCAGAGTGGAGAAGGGACATCAGCAGAGTAGTCAAGAGAGCTCTGGTGGAGGTAAGCTCTGTGCATAGCCTGTTTTACAAGGGTTCTGGTTCCTGATTTGTCCCTTCATTAGCTCTGGATCAGCTGTTATCTCAAGATGTCTCTTTGTTTCCATCACCCAGAAATGGAGAATTGACAGTGTTTGAGGCCAGCATCCTAAATTCTAGACAGGTGAAATGGTCTCATCCTAAGACAATCTGGTGCCCAGAGTCAGCCTTCAGTGTAAAGCAGCACTCTTCTAATGGAATTGCAAATATGCTGTAGAAAACTTGTGAAACTAAAAATTAAAGTTATTGCTACACAGAAGAACACCACAGCAAGTACTTTAAGTCCTTCATATAGCATGAATCTCACAGGGCAGGATTGGATGCTGGTTTTCTCTGAAGTTCCTTCTTTAACCGTGGAACACAATGTCACAAAAATATTCCAGTGTAGCTGAAGATTTACATTTGAAATTGAGGATGTAATAAGAGTTAGAGGAGATAGCTGGGGTTTCTCAGCTCAGTAGAAAAATAGTGCAAGGAATTGTTTGAAATAATATTTCTGTTTTTTTTTTAAATAAAGATTCTCAGATTTTGAAAGGACAAAAGTCTTGCTGATGTTATTAGCAAGCTTAAGTGTTATTTGTGGCATCATCTGTGCAAAAACTCTTCAAAAACTGTACTAATCAGGTGCACAAAACTGTCTGGATTGTTTCTGAGATTTTTTTTCTGAAATTTTGTTAAAAGACATGAGGAAAGGGAAAAAAAGAGCATTTTTCTGGAGCTTTATCTTCTGACGTATTTATGTCTGTATCAAGTATTCAAGGATCCATTTATCTTCAGGATGAATTTTCAGAATATAAACATCTCAATAAAGCAAAACCAAACCATAAAAAAAGAAGAACTGTAAAACCACAGTACCAAGGCTACATTCCAAAAGCAGAGCAGTGAAAACACAGAGTCTTTTTGTTATTTGATTGAAAAAATAAAAATTGATAGCTAATTATCCATCTTTATATAGCTAAATGATTCACCTTAAACAAGCCTTTGTGAGAAGTTCCTGTAAAAATTAAAGATAAACCCAGCAGATTTCTACAGCAATTAAGTAAAAGGTATAAAAATGAGTCAAATAACTAAATAATTCAATAGGAAATTATAGCTGTGCTATAGAATTTTTATGAACTTTAATAAAAGTATTGTATTCTTATTACAGAATATCATCAGACCAGGATGAAATTCTGCCTACAAAATTATAGTTCTGTACTAAAATCTGATCTTCACTCTGAGTAGGGATAATTTCACATTATCATAAAATATCCTATTTCTTGTTTTGATCATAATTATTTGCTTGCATCATTGATTTTCTGATTACTGTCTCCCACTTCTGAAAAAAAAAAAAAATTGTTCCCAGCCTCTGAAAATGAAGGCAATACTGTGTCTTTCTTGACACCTTAAAGCCACATGTTAGGCAAGCACAAATAATGTAAGCCCTGGCTTCACTGAATACTTGTAAAGAATGTAAGAAACCTTTCTATATTTATAAGGGTTTTTCCTAAATCCACTTTACAAAACAAAGCAAAATAAAAAAAGGGAACAAAGCCAGATGCTTTTCCTTGGTGTATGGTGGACTCCACAGGGTTTTCCCCAGACTGTCAGCAGTCACACTCGGGTTATCCATAGGATAGGCTCAGAAAATGGTGATTTATGATCAGTTTTGCTGACCCTTTGTCCTGCATCCACCATTTCCTCCAATGAGCTACTCCTCCATGTCTTTGCTCCTGGAGCACCATGGAGAAGAATTCCTGAGATTTAGGTCCAGTTAATGTCTGAGAGGCTTCCAAGTCATTACTGCAAGGGAATCTCTGTGGTGCATCTGTGATCTGTCCTTGTATCTGAAGGCACTTTGTCCCCACCTCTTTAAAAGTGACCAACAAATTTCAGCACTTGAAAACTTCAGGTTAAATCAAAACCTTGAGATTTAAGTGCCTTTGGTGGATAACTCACAACAGAAAGGCAATGGAGGAAGATTCATCAAATTATGTTTCTCCTTCCTTTGGCTAACAAAACTTCCTGAGGGCCAAAGTAGGTCCTTTTCTGGATAATAACTCAGCAATCTTATTGTGTAGCATCAGCTAAAACATGAGATTGGAGATGACCCTAGTATTAATGCCTTTAGGGTACTTTTTTTTTTCTGAATTTTGTCTAATGTGTCAAAATCAGGGATAATAAAGTCCTAACTTAAAAATTTCAGCCAACAAGATGTACGAGATACACCCTACATAGTAAAAGTACTGTGATGCCTTAATGAAGAGGTTCTCAGCATTCAGTGCCATCCACACTGTTTCTCTCTCCATTATTTCTCTGTATCAGGCTACAGGTATTTCCAGCAAGCACGTTCTGGTTGCAGTGCTCCCTGGCCTGCCCACGTCTGCTGAACTCTTCATTTTACCATATCAAGATGCCACAGGAGAAAAAAAAAGAACAGCAGCAAACCTAGAGCAGGTATCGTGTCCATTACTTGGAGAACTGTATGTGCATGCATTTCTGTGTCTGTGTATGTATATGAGATATATATATCTGTATCTATATGGGATTTGTGTATGGTTAAAACTGAAAATTATGGTAGGAATGCATCTGATTCACTGGGGTACATGTACCCGTTGCATCCTCTTTAGGTTTTTTTTTATGTTTCTATTTTTGGGGGGGGGTTGGTTGTTTGGTTTGGGCAGGGTTTTTGGTTTTTTCTTTCCCCAGCATTGGAAACAGGCTTTAGAGCTGTCTTTAGGAGTTTAGATGCCCATTTGTGTTCCCTTCAAAGTCTTGTTTACTACATGGAAGCAGGAAGAAAGAAGGATTTAGGGGATGACTCCTGCCAACAGGAACTGTGGAGCAAAGTTTCTGACACTGTCAAGAGTCTAGAAAGCACTGGAGGACAAAGCTGCCTGGTAAACCTGGGCAGTTCATTGGTTTAAGGCACAGGCATGGGATTGGACAATCTGCCTGCCTTCTTCAGGGTGCTGGAAGTGGGGCTGAGCCACTGTGCATTGTTTTCTCTGTGAACAGCTGAAATAGGTTGTGATGACTGAAGGATTCTGTCTCTCTGCAGACCCAAAAGGTCCTGCCAACTAGATGGGCCTAGCAGGATTATAATTAAAAGATAAAACATTATGCTGGGCAAAAATCCTGAAATGACATAGAATTATAGAGTTGTTAAGGTTGGAAAACACCTCTAATGCCATCGAGTTCAATTGATAACCTAATACTCCCATGTGCATCCTCTTGTCCCATAGCTCCTTTGCTGCCTCTCAGCTTATTAGCTCAGATTCCAGGGGCAAAGATAACTTTGGCCCTGAGGGAAGCACCACTGTAGCTCTGCCTTGCACATTCCATGTCCATGGCTCAAGCCATGTTAACTTAGCCTCACACCTCCAGGTCACCCATATTCTGAAGCTTTCCCTTGCTCAGCATTTCTAGCTGTCATCTTTTCTTTTGACAAATGACCTTCTTAAATTTTCACCTCCCAAGTAATAAACAAAAAATATGGAGATTTACTGCTCTGAAAAATCTTTCCTTCCTTTTCTCCTTCATTTCCCCTTCTCCTAACTTCCTTCATAAATTGGCAAGGAAGCCAGTCCATAAACTTTCAAATTTACATCTGACCCAGCTCCCTTTGGGCACTCAGCAGCTTCTCTTTCTCCCTCTTTTTATGCCTCTCTTCTTCTCTCCTGTAAAAACAGAGTCTTTGTGACTGTGGGAAAGGAAGCCCTGGCAATGCTCTCATGGCCCTTTTTATGGACAAGAAGAAATGTCATTTTCAGTGTAACTCCATCAGCATCTCTGGCATCCTGCGGGGTCCAAATGGTAACCTTTGGAGGAGAGATAAACTGTTTGCCATTTGCAGCCAGCTCTCTTCTTTGAAAAAACCCAGGATGGTCAGAATGCTTTTGTTTCTGGTCTGTGGGTGCTGCATTCCTCTTCCTAGTAACTCCAGTAGAAAATGGTGGGGTTTTCTGTGAGAACTGCCCAAGGGCCACAAAGGGAGTCTCTGCCCTCTGCTCTGAAGCATATTCTGATACTTCTCCTGTTTTGTCATCTGTTTTGCCTGTGATCCTTCACTATGCCTTGCCCAAAGTGTCTCAGAGCTCATTCCACAGCCTCTCCCCGTGCTTGAGGTTGCTGGGATGAGTATTGGGAGCAGATGTTTTTGATGGCTACAGCTTAAGAAGCTTAAGTTGCTTCTGAGGTACTTCTAATGCATTTGCTCTTTTCTGGTAGGAATAGAAGTCTGTTTTGTAGTTGTGGGCTAAGGAATAAGCTATTCAAAGGCACGTATGTGAGCTTGCCAGCTTGCAGGTGCAGACCCAAAGGAGTTACAGTTCTGAATTATGTTTTCTAATTTAGAAGAGAAACTTCCAAGTGTGCAGGGAATAAAATGGGAATAGTTTACACAAGTAGTGCAATGAAAAAAGGTTCCTTAAGGAAGCACTTCATTACAGAGGTTCCTTTCTTCATCACCTGAGCTAGACCACTGCTCTGCCATGGGTAACCATGAGGGGTGTATGTGGTTTCATGGACTTTCACATTTACCAGTAAATCTCATTCATATTTAATAACCATGGGAGGCTTACATTTTGCTGTTTTCCCTTGAGGTGGATTAAGCTGTTCTGTTTTTATCTAATACATACTTATTTGGCTTTGTAAACATACTTTTAGGTCCCTTTGTCCAGCCACTTGTCTCTAGGTACATAATTCCCATTGATTTCAGAGGCACTTAGATGTCCACAGTGCCTTGACAGTCTAGGTCTTGGTTTCCCATTTATCAAAGTCAATAACGCTCCTTTGTGCCACTCATGTTTTATGAGTCTGAACACAGTAGGCCAGTAGTAGTGGGACTGCAGTAGTGCCTCACTTGACAAATGTACATTTCCATGCAGTTTTCCATGAGGGTAGTGCATTTATGTCTCATCTGTCTTTTAGACTGTGGTTAGATGGTAAATATCATTTTCTTCCTCACTTGATGCATCACTTCAATTGTCCCATATTATTTTTTTATGTATACATAGAATCAATTATTGTCATATCTGTTTCCATTTAGAAATGTGAACTCTGCATTCCTAATATTTTCCATTGGAGACTAAAGTACCTTTAAAAGGTTTGACTGCTGTTGACAGCCAAAAAAAACTGCTACATCTGAGTCTGGGGAAGTTTCTCAATGTGCAACATAGGACAACTTCACCGAATACATAAATACAAAAAAAGTGCTTGATCCACTCCACTTTCTGTAGTCAGTGCAAAGTTATTCTTCACAGTTTCCTAAAAAATCAAAAGGCCTTTTCATCCTGCAGAATCCCAAAACACATTTGCAAAATCTTGTATTTATCACAGGAATATTGTGTCCTTTTTTCCCCCCCTTTTTTTTCTTTTTTAATTGGGTCATTTGATTGCTCTGCTTCATTGGTAGTCTGTCAGTAGCTGAGGACAGACTACCACCCTGCTTAAAAATATAGAAATAATTGGCAGTTGTCAAACACTGGTCTTTGATTTGCATGCTATGATTGCAACAACACTGAAATATCCCAAATCTTGCAAAAACAGCCACCCAGAATTGCCACTGGCCACTTGGGCTGGAATGCAGTTGTCACACCATCTTCATGGATGGGCTTGGTGAATTTGATGATTACAAAATTCAGATCTGCTAAATCTGAAATAAACACAAATTTCTTCAGTGAAGGACAAATCTCTAATAGTAACATTTCAATGAATTGAGTTATTTTTAGCACAAATACAGTTCAAAATGAATGTCCAGTAGGAAAATATTGTAATCAAAATTCAGTGGAGGGCAGTTGCGATTACTCTTCATTTCAGTGTATGGTTTTACTCAGTAGGAGGATTCTGAGGGGTTACCTTTTATTTATGCATTTCACAAATTATCTTCTTTCCATGTTGTTTCCTAGTGGGGGATTTTTCTCAAACATAAAAAAATGCATTTTATTTTAGTAAAATGAAATGTAAGCAGAAGGTACATGATAATTCTGAAGTGATGTTTTCATATCAAGAAAAGGTTTCAGTGTTATCCTGAATTTCTCTTTACTTCTCCATTTGGGTGCTTTTCACTGGCCTATTCAAAATTACTGTAAAAGTATGCAAAACAGGGGTAGGAGCAAATAGTTAATGACATTTGAGGCCATTAATATTTTCTCTGAGAAAAGCTTTCAGCAAAATAGCACGATGGAGACTTTGGCAAATGGTAACATCAGCTGGTTGGTAGCCAACTGTACTCAATGTGTTGCAGCTGTGGCCAGTGTCTGTATCCAGCCAAAGAGATGGGAAATGACATGGATGACTGATTATCAAATGGACAGTGATGAACTGCAGAGATTAAATACCTCTTGTGAATTTGAAACATTGACAGTGGCATTCAGGAAGGCTGTAAGGATTTACCTCCTGGGATTCTTTCCTTAAAGCAGATTTAGTTTTGCATCTGCTTCTTTGCAGCTGATGGAGCTTCTGTCTTATTTTAGAGTTTGGGGTTTTCTTTTGTCCACCCCCCTCAGCTTTAGTGTTTCAGTGTACTTGCTTTCAGTACTTCTCTTTCCTCTAATGTATTTCAGATGTGCCCATCACCAAAATACTTTTAGCAACAAGATCATGACAGTGAATGCCTTCAAATCTTACAGAAAATTGTGCCAATCAGTCCTGGAAATTAAATTCCAGGTAGAGGTTGATATATAGGGTAAATTATCTAATGTTTACAAGGAGAGATTTTTTTTCAACATCTGTGCCTTTAAACGAAGATCAAGTCTTCCACTGGTACTTAGGGGAGGTTGGACAAGTATTAAGTAGAGGCAGATGAGGAGAGGATGGAATAATGTGAACCAAAAGACCTTGTACCAGGGGCTTTTTTCTTTAACCAGCTTTTCTTAGTAGCTGCTTGTGTGCTATAGGAGAGGCTGTGTAAATCTCTTGTCTTAATACCTTTGAGTTAACTCCTGCCACGTGACTATCAGCCCTCTCTCCCTCATCTTTTGCTCAGTGTACAGAGCAGCCCTTGATTCTCAAGGCTGTTTTTGGTTGCCTTTGTTCATCAAAAGTAGATCCTGGCTTTTATGTCCAGGTCTCTGGGTTCATATCTGCTGTTCCATTCTTGTCCCAGAGTAACCACAGGAATATCCTCTACCTCGTGCTCTCACAGTGTCCCTGGATACTCCCAGCAGCTTGAATTTAGCATCTTCCATTAAAGATGTGCAGAAATTCCTGCTGGAGCCAGGAAGTCAGTGCCTGTGCTCTTTTCAGTGCTAAGGCAAGCAAGCTTTAGAGGCCCCATGTGAAGTGTCCAAGGTTATCCAGGGCAAGTGGCACAGTTTAAAGTAATCCACATTGGCCCCACTTCACTTTCCCAATGCTGGTTCAAGTTTCTTCCTACTAAATCAATGTGCCTAATTCTTTCCTTAGTTGTTTATTGATTTGCTCAATGAATTGAAGTGTAGCACTCATTAGTTGAGATCTTTACACAGTATCTATAAAATTATCAAGATTCTTAGCTAGTGCATACTGGCACAGTTGAATCACATTCAATTAGTCTAAAATAATTTACACCAGGGGTTTCAAAAGTCAATAAAGGTATGGGAAAATGCCCTTCTCAGTGATAATTCTACTTCTTGGTTCACATAGTTGTTTTAGAGTCCTAAATCTGACAAAATGCTAAGAGCAGCCAAATTAATTTTTGTTTTGTTCCATTTTTAAATTGGAATCTCTTTTTTTTTCATTCACAAATTGTCTGTTATTATTATTCATTATGTGTCCTTTGATGAAAAATGATACATGAAGAATAGTTCCTATTACTGAATTATTTTTGCACATCATGCTTAATTCTGCAAATGAAGCAGATAAAGTCAATGAGGCTCAGTTAAGGACCAAAACTAATTTTGAAAGCTAATTATTTTCACAAGAGAGACTCTTGAAGACTATAAATTAAGAGGTTGCTATTCTAAGAAGTTTTGTCTTCAGCTAAGTTAGTTGCATCTCCGGGAGGGAGAGATGAAGAGGGGGAGGCCTGAGGCCAACCTGTTCTTCAGATGAAGGTCTGGCTGTTCAACTGGAGTTGTGTTGCTATTTTTGAAATGGGTCAAAGTACTTTGATGTTTCCTTTTCTGCTTTTTAAACCAAAATGCATCCATGGTATCACTTTGAGTGCAGAAGTAAAGGGAAGCACAAACCCCAAAATGTTCACCATTGAAACCTTTTTATTACCTCAACAACTGAGATCAGCCTTTTTGTGGAAATTTAATTCAGAGGCATTATATTAATACTGCAAACAAGTCAAGTCAGAACCACTCCTAGAATAAAGTCTGATAGCTGAGATAGAAATAGGCTTGAAGGCAGAGGAGTTTCCAATCTCCAATCTCAAAGCAAATGTCCTGATTGACCTCTCAGCGCATCCTTGGGACCATGCGAGGACCACAAACTTTGCCAGGTCCAGCTTTGGAGGGTAGTGTCCAATCCCAATGTAAAATTTGATCCTTGAGGTTTATGCAAGCTGCTCACTGACCTTAAATACTGCCTTTTTTAGGCCATTATGTATGGTTTCTATTTCAGATAATTTTTAGGAGTACAGAAATGCATTTTCTCTCTGTGTATCTGTTTTGAAGAGAATGTTGTTTCCTCCATAAAGAAAAATGAAAATATTGTACCAAACAAGCAAACATTTTAAAAACACATCTGAATGCATCTGTTCTTCTCTCAGACGTGTGTGTCAGGAATCTCCAGAGCTGCCTGAGGAAGGAAGATGTCTGATTCTTACTAGAATTCCTGGCACTTTTGAAGATCTTAGGCTGTTACTCACTTTTTTAACTTGTTCAGATTCCATAAAGACCAAGGCAAAAAAAAAAAAAAAGCTGTACACAAAAAGCCACTGGGAGAACATGTAATTAATCAAGCTGAGGAAATATGCTTTATACTCTGCACAGAATGAACAGTGTTGCTGCCAGTTTTGACACTTTGTGTATAGTCCTGGAACAGTTACTGCTGTTCCAAGCCTCTGCTGAGACACTGATGGTCTCAGGCAAAAATTATTTTAGTCTGAGATGAATTTGTACAGGATGTTATACAATGAAGTCCTCATTCATAATCAAGTAAGAAAGCAATACAGTAATAATAAATTTGAGTTGTGACTCTTTCTTTCTTTTCCTTACTACTTTACCCTTACTTCCTCTCTCCTTCCTGTTTTTCCTTTCCTTTGGCCATCCAGACAGGAATACCTGTTGATTTTTCTCTCACACATCAGCCACAGCACCTCTCAGCTGCAGTTTTGCCTCTTCACTCAGTGCCCCAGGAGCCTGCAGGCAGGCCAGGGGAGATCTCACTCACTGCCCTCACCAGTGCCCAGCCAAATCTCTTGTACCTTCTCATGCTGACTTTCTCCAGATTCTCCCATTCTTCCATTTTTTGCCCAAATCCTTGAGGAAGCCATTCTCCAGTGCCACATACAACGTTTGCTAGCTGCAGACTCAGTTACATCCCACTGTAAGCCTCTGCTGTACAGAAGGCATCATGTTTGTTTTCTACCTCTGCTCTTTCCCTGCCATGTTGTGCAGGTATCACAATGTGTTGAAGAGGAATGACACACACTGTGGTTGTCTCCTTTCTTCCTTTCTTTAGTTTACTGTCTCATATTTGCCTTTTTTTTTTTTCCTCCCAGAGGCTCAGCTGCCCCAGCAGCATCAGGATCTCAGAGCAGAAAGGAAAATTCCTGCAGGGTTATGGGAGAGAGCTGTTAGGTTTTATGTAGGACTGGATACAGCCAGGATGACACTTTCCCCATTAGTTCCATGAGCCATTAAGGTACCTGGCTTACACCATATCAATCTGCATCTGTTGCTCTAGTTTTAGAGATTAAAAACTTTTTATAGTTGCCAATCTTGGTTATTAATATGCTCAAATCCTTAAAGAGGGCTATAATTTGCTTCCCAGGCATTCTTCATGTACTGCACATCTTTGTGTCACCATCCCTGCTGCTCTGAGCTCAACAGATGGCTCTTTGAATGCAGGTGGTATTTTTTTCTTGCTATTGGAAGAAATATATTTATTGCTCATTCTGGCACCCATGAAATAAATTGTAACTTTAAAGAGATATATTTAAAAATATAAATAAAATGCCAGTAAGAGTTATTGCCAAATTGATATTGGACCAAAGGCACATATTCAAGTGATCAGCAGCCAGAAATGAAGTGTATGAGCCAAGAGTATTGAAAGAACCATTAAGAATGTTAAAAAAATAAAAGAAGCAGATAAATCTCATACTGTGATGAATGATAGCCAAAGAACATCTAATCATATCTGGGTAGAATTTACTGAAATAGCTCAACCAGGCAAAAATGAAGAACATGAAAAAGATGGTGTAAAAATTATTGGAATGTTCTTTTTTCTGACAATTTTTCATTAATCTTCAAGAAGGAATAAGGATTTATTTAAAACAAATTGAATTAAGTAGTGAGCACTAGAATACGATTCCACTTGATCTTGGTATGATTATAAAAGCACATTCTCATCAACTGCATAGTATAGGTTATGGCAGATGTTGTGTTTCCAGTTTTCCAATCACCTCTCCCTAAATAAGCCAACCTGGAGAACTGTGACTGTTCAATTGGAAAATTGATCTCTGCTGTAAGAAAATGTGAGATACATGAAACGTCAGGCAAATGAACGTACAAAAGACACACAGCAAACTGTCAACACCATGTCTGTAGGCTTCCATTCCTTGATTAATCTATCTAGATTTTTTGGTTTTAATGGCAACAAGCCTGAAACTTCTTGCATGTAATAAAGTGTGATGTGGAAAAAAGTGGATCTGTGCTCATTGCAACAAACTGACTTTAAAAAAAGGCATGTTTGCCAACAGATTGGACCACGGTTTGGCTCCTTTACTGTACAAATACAGATTTCACGGGGTCTTATCTCAGCAAATGCTCATCTTTTCTGTTGTGTCCTTAAAGGAGGAATAATCTGCTTCATTTCTGCTCTGTTGATGTCACCAGTTACGGAAAGATAATCTGGTGATCTGAATGCTCTGTGGAATATCTCCCCCATGAAAGAGAGTGGGTTATGAATGTAACCCAGAAGAATAGATGGAACATGCATTTTGTTTAAGCCACATTCTGTAGTCAGTTAACACTTCCAGATTCAAGCTGGTTCTGGTACATATTTAAGGATTAGGGAGCAGCTGTCTTAAATCTCAGAGCTGGATGAAATGAAATTTGCTTTTAGAACTTGAAAATTAACTGCAAGCTGTGGCAAGGATCTAAACCATTCATTTTTATTCAGGTGTATCACATGTTATGAACATCCTCTAAGAGCATGGAACTGGCCACTCAACAAACAAGCAGTTATTTATTAGGAGCAAGTGTTCATTAACAACTGAAAAGTTCCTTTTCCCTTGAAGAGTGAATGAGTTCACTGATGTGATGCTGCTGGCTGGTCCTGTGGCCACTTTCACATGAGGGTGGAACGTTCCCTTGGTGCCCAATTCCCTTTTGCTGCTGGGCTGCTCTCACAGAGGTGTGACTGGGCACCTTGTTGCTCAGTCAGTGCTGACCATACACAAACCACTCTGTCCAAAATCCTTCATTGTGAGGTGATAGGAATCTGTGCTCGGAAAGTCTGCAAAATCTTTCCTTTGCCAGCAGAAACAAATTAACAAATACCGGTTTTTGGGGTTTTTTTGGTTTTTTTTTGGTTTTTGTTTTGATTTGTTTTGGTTTTTTTTTTTGTTTGTTTGTTTTTTTTGTTTGTTTGTTTGTTTGTTTTTTTTTTTTTTGTTTTTTGGTGGTTTTTTGGGTTTTTGTTTGTTTGGTTTGGTTTTTTTTTTTGTTGGTTGGTTTTTTCCCTTCCCAGATTTCAGAAACACTGATCCAGAAACTGAACCAAAACCTGGTCCATTTTGAGTTGAAGCCAGGAGTTCGAATCCTTGTCCATGCTGCCCATTTAACAGCAGGTGAGTATCCTCTCTCTGTGTGTGCCTTCTGTGTTCCTCTATATCACAGCAAGCAATATATCAATGGTAGTAGTGTGCTATCAGCTGTATTCTAAACATTTCTTATTTTTATATCACAATAACAACACAGTATATGAGCAGACATTAAAATGTCTGCTCTACCTCACCTTTCTATATCATGCCAGAAAGATATAATGGCTTTTTGCATTTACAGCTAATCCTTTTGTTTTCCTAGGTGCAAGAATTTACTGGTTTTTTGGAAAAGTGGTATAAGTAGCAGCAGAAGTGTGCATTTCTTGGTTATCTCTGAAATATTCAATAGCTAAGCAGCACCACGGCATTTTCAGCCTGGGTCCCACAGTGCTAAAGTTACCTGCTAGCCTTGGATATGTTCAGATATTCTAGAGTCAGCAAAACAAACATTCAAAGCAACTAAACACTGCTCAAGGGTTGTTCAGTATGAAAGACTAGAATCAATATAGATATGCACAAAAATAAGATCAGGCAGTTTGGGCCTTAACTAATCCTATTTCAAAATAAGTCATCTCCAAAGTCCTGATATTTAATTGCATATGTCACTGTCTATTCTGCATGCTAAAAACTCATTTCACAGCACAGGTCCTACTGAACAAGAGATGGACACCCCAATCCACACTCTTAGGAGTTCATTTTCCCCAGGCACTGCTGATAATTCTGATCAGTTGGTACCAGATTCTTTTGATAACTCACAAACTTAAACCCTCAGTTCATTTGTACCAGCAAACTGCTCTCCAAAAACTTTTTGTGGTATGAATGGATTTTCCCAACCAGATGTCAGTCCATGTGCTGCCTTGTAAGCAGTAAGAAAAGAGAGACTATTAAAAAAAGGGTGTAATGTGACTGCATTTAAATTCCCCCAAAGGCCTGGGGTTTCCAATATTTCATTTTTCCTAAGCAGAGCTTTATAGTATCTGTCCTGAGAATATTGCTGTATGTTTCTGCTTTCCACTAGCTGTGGAGCAGATGGGCAGATGCTTATTTTTAGACAAGTTAGAACCAAAAGCATATAATGTCAGCCTCAAAAATAGAGTTATGTGCAATTGTTCATAATTTTCACCAAAAATGCATGTTTTTATTTGTATTTACACACAGACACCAAGAAGGAGTACTTTTTGTCCATAACAGATGCAAACACTATTTTTTTCTGTAAGGCAGGCTTTGTTGTACTTTCTCAAAGCCACTGGTGAGTGATTGCTGTAACTGGACTCACAATGTCCTATAGGAACCCTATAGGATTTTTTCTCTTGCAGAAACAGGATTCAGTGAGAATGCAAAATGAGCTTGGATGGCCAAACTATGTATTAAAAACCCAGAGAACATCCACTGTGAGGTCTTTGAGGGATTATGTCTCCTTAACAAGCTGCAGAGGTCATGTTCTCCATCTAAGCAAAAGGCCCAATATCATGACACCAAAACTTGTGAATAGTTCAAAATTTGACAAAGAGCCACGAGAGACTTACTTCTCTGCTGAAAGCTATTGTTTTGGTTGTTAGAAAATAAGAACTGGCCTTTGGAAATCCAAGCTTTTATAAAAAATTAAATAAAATGAACCAGGGAAACTTGGAACACAGCACAATGCCAGAAGCAACCCTTGGAAAACACATTCCCAGGGGATGCACGTGCCCAAAGGTGCTGCTCTGGGCTATGTTATCCCTTCTTTCCCAGCCTTTTCACTGATTTTGTTCTGGACTCTGGTAGCTATGGGCTGTAGTTGGCTGAACCACAATGCTCAATGTGTTTTTGGAAGTGTACACACAGATACCTGTGTACAGCTACATTTATGATGCATGCCTAGATGCACATTTATGTTCCCCTCTGTGTGTGCCTGCCCATGCACAGCAATATTTTCTGCAGCAGAGGACCTGCAGGGAGCAAAAGTGCAGGTATCTAAAGTAGCTTGGAGTGGACATTCAAGCAGAGCCTGTAGAAATGACTCTGTCTGTGTGTGTGTGAGTGTGAGTGTGTGCATTCCCTGGAGCACAGAGAATGACAAGCCTTGGCCTCAGCACATTCCAGACTTCTTTCTTCTTTGTTCAGACCACACTGGAGGAAGGATTAATTTATGGCAATTATAGACAACAGATTGTGATTCATTCATCATGTTCATTCCTTCTTCTCATGAGATAAGAAAACAAACCAATGTCCCCAACCCAACAGACAACAACTTCAACTCTAAGGCAGAGGAAAACATGCCAATATTCCTCACAAAGCAGTTAAATTGCTGTTTATTACTAGGCTCTCAGTGTAGCATTAGAGAGGAACATTGAGTGATGCTGAATCTGAATAGGCTGGAGAGCCACTTTGTCATCCCACAGAGCTGCAGAGACCCACAAAACACAGGTGGAGAGGGGACAGAGTAGAGATGTGTGAGGAATTCATAATAATGGATCCTTTCATTCTGGATCCTGCTAGATGTGGGAAGGGGAAGATTTTTCACTTCTCTTTGTAAGTTTTGGGTTTATCAGTCTGGATGTGAAGCTGAAAATACATGTGCATGTGTTGTGTGTGCCTTTGCTTGTGTGAGCCTGTTGCCTTGTGTCTTCTGGCTCTGGTTTAGGAGGGGTCTGTTCAGTGCATGTGAAGAGGTGCAAGAGGGGGAGGATGTGTTTGGCAGCAGTTCAAGTTGAGTTTGACTGCTTTACAGAGGAGGGCACTACCTGGGCCATGTTCTGTGTGTGAGGATGTGTTTGCTCCTTGTTGGGGCACAGCTGGAGCTCTGTCTGTCTGCAGTACAGAGTCTGCAGGAACAACTGACTCCTCTGCTCCTAGATGTGAAACTGCTTGGAGGCTCACTGCCTTCCTGTGTATGTGTGTGAGAGTGATGGAAACTCTGTTTAATGCCATTCACTTTGTATTTTTGGGAAATCCGTGCTTCTGGATGGGTTGGGTGGCCCTGTTTTGGGAGGGGTTATGGCAAGATGGTGAGCAAAACTCTGAGGAGAAATACAGAGAGGCTCTTTAATTAAGATTGGTTTTGATATGTTCACGGTTTTTTCTTGAATCTGAAAGAAAGTCCTCTAAAGGGAAAGCTGTGGAACTTCACATAAAGGGGTATGTTGAGCACTACAGGTGATCTGAACTTGGGTTTCTTCCCAGGTGCATTAAAAAGGGAGAGAAGCCCAGGAGATATGCAGACCTGCTAAAAGTGCAGTAAGAGGGGAGAATGAACTGTATTTCTGGAGGGAGCAGCTTTCACTTGAGGCTGGAGGTGGCTCTAACCCTCTCCTCTCTTGCAGCTCCCCTGGTGGACCTCACTCCCAGTCACAGTGGGTCAGCCATGCTGATGCTCCTCTCTGTTGTTTTTGTGGGACTAGCTGTGTTCATCATCTACAAGTTCAAAAGGTATGACCTCCCCTGAGCCACCTCCTTCTCTCCCTTGCTGCCTTTTGCTGAGGTGTTTGGGGTTTGTTTGCTGGGTTTTCTTTTTCTGAGAGAGTTGTTTTTTGGTTTGTAAAAGCTGATACTACATCATCTGCCAGAGTACCACACAATGATGGTTTCTGTTAATGTTTTAGGAAGATTCCTGGCCTTAATATATATGCACAGATGCAGAATGAAAAAGATCAAGAGATGGTCAGTCCAGTCAGTCAGAGGGAAAGCATACCTAATGTCCCTCAAAGTGAGCTGATGAGCCCTGAGCAACTAGTAGATGAGAAGTTGGAAGTCCACCCCATAGGTAAATAACTTGCAGCATCCTGCAGCTGGTCAGACTCCGACTTATAATTGGCTAACCTTTTTCTCAGCCTCCCCTCTTCCCATATTCCTGCACAATCCTCCTCCTATTCTCTTCTGCTGCAACGTTAGTTTTGCTACAGGAAACCTTCTAACTCTTCCCTCTCCCTCACTGCCATGTGATGAAAGGGAGGGGAACAACTTTAGGCTTTTTCTCTCTCCTAGTTGCTCTACGTAGATCCCCTCCCCTTCTCAAAAAAATCCTGCTGGCAATGTAATTTATTTTGCTGGGGCTGATATAGTTGTGGGGCTAAGCCCCATAGCCAGAAGAACTGATGAAGCTCACCTGGAACATGGAGGTGAGCAGGTGATTCGGTAAGTAATATCTAAAAGCTAAATATCTGCTGATGTTTTGACTCTGTGCTGTGCCAGACTCTGCTGCCAGCAGCAGTGTTAGTCTGGCTGATTCCCAAATAAACTGAGTAAAACCTGGGATCTCAGTATTGGACAGCTGGGTTTATCCTCAGGCTGACTTCTCTCACAGGCCTATGTGTTTGATTATTTCCAAAAGCAGGCTTTTTTAGGACCTAAAGTGAATAGATTTGGGCAGGGCATTCTGGGATCAGTCTGTTTTCTGTTACCCTGGCTACAGTAGAAGTACTGGGACAGAGCAGGGAGGTTTCAGTCTGGAGACATGTTCTGCTAAAGCCAGGACTGCTTAGGCAATGCTCAGCTTCATTCATGAGGTGACAGTTCTGCAGGTCCAGACTGGAGGTACCCCTGCAAATAAGGACATGCACCTATTTTAGAGGAATTAAAGAGAAAAGGCTGCCCAGGGATGTTGTGGACTGTCCTTCTCTGGAGATACTCAGAACTCTCCTGGACACAATCCTGTGCAACCTGCTCTAGGTGAAATTGTTTTAGCAGGGGGGTTGGACTAGATGTTCTCCAGAGGTCCCTTCTAACCCCAACTATTTTGTGATCTGTGACTTAGGCAGGAGTGAAGCACAGTTGCAACTGAGATTCCTTATTTGCACAGTTTCATTAGCCTAAACAAACCTTAGATCTCACATGAGGATGTTCCTAAAATCTATTGGAGTGTTTGCTAAAGCAGGCTTGCAGTCATGGCTGCTGCAAGAGAGGAAACAAGGAAAAGGACAATTAAAAGGGGGAGTGTGATGTGCTAAGATTGCAGCCTGTGAAATAACCTGGGAGGAAAAAGGAGAAAGGCTCTTGATGAAACTGATGTCTAAGCTGGAAGCACCACTGCAGTCAATGCTGATCTCTCCTAACCTGTTCACTAGGGAGATTTTTTAGCTATTAAAAGCTTTTAAGCAGCTATTCATCAGCAGACCTGGACACTCCTGCATAGCAGGACACAGGATGGAGTGAGGGGACCAACCTTCCAATGTGGTATTCCCCATACAGAGCAACCTCAGGCCACAGTCCAGAGCCCAAGGAAAGGAAATGCAACCAAGGTAGTCTGGACAGAGGACTTCCAAAAAGCTTGTGGATCACCAAGAGATTTCAAGCCAAGACCCAGAGCGGTGGGTCCTAAACTTTAACAATTTTTTTTTATGTTTGGTTTTCTTGTTCTTGTTGGTTTTTTCCCCCCCTAAAAAACCTCCAAGGCAAAATTGCTGTAAGATGCTAAGAGAGAAACACCCAGTTTCAAGTCAGGAACTCTCTTTCTGGAATTGGGTGAGCTTTGGGCTTTGAGCTTCCCCTTTCTAAAAGAATGCAGTGGTGGTGGTTCATGTTTTCACAGGTGCAAACTGCAGTTTCAGACTGCAGTGGCAAGGGTCAGTCACTGCTGGCTCTATGCAAGGTACCTTCAAAACTGCTCTTGCTGGTGATGGAAACTTAAACCCTAGAAGGCTCCAGGATAAGAGAAATCAAAAGCAAATTTTGGGGGTAGGTTTTCATTTGGTGCATCTATAGCATTTCTGTCTTTCTATAACAGCCGGAATTTTATATATTTTTCAGCTGTACTACTGAACACTGCATTACACCAGAAATTGGCCCTTTACAACTCCTTGGTTTGCACCTGTGACTGCACGATCGAGCGCTAAAGTTAAATGTGTGAGATACACAGACTCAATTATGTATCAAAAGGAATCAGTCCAACAAATTTCCAAAGAGTGTTTTTCCATCCTGTCAGTGAGATGAATGAGAAAACTGAATCAGAGCTCATTGACAAAATGAGAAGGTCTGGATCTAGATGTGAACAGAATAGAAAGTGCAAAGGTACTCTCCTATACAACCACCTCATCTGTTTCTGGAAATCAGCAATTTCTTTTTTAATGAGTTTTCTTTCTTTTGGGAAAACAAAGCAAGACTGTAATTGGGTGTTTCTCTTTTGTATGCTTGTTCAGAAACCTTTTTTTTTTTCATCACCTTTGACTAACATTCAGGGATCCTGCCTTGGAGGAATCAGAATTAATGTCCCTGCATCATTTAATTTTCTCTCCAAACTCTGGCAACAAAACCTCACTTTCCTATTTTCTGGATGAGTGTGGTTTAGGCACTTCTTTTGCAAATGCAAAGGTTAAGGTTATTTATGAAATCTCCAACACCTTATCATTGCAAATGAGTTACACATTTCCTCTGAGGACCTCAACCCCTCCTTTCCTCCACCCCTCTGCTCCTGCCTTTCCCTCTACCATGGGTGAATCATCTTCATTAGCAAAAGAACAGGACATCATCTTCAGTGTTTGAATGACAAGAAAATATTTCTGGAAAGAATGTGTCAGTCTGGAACAGCTGAATCCCAAAGGCAATCAAGGTGATACCTGCAAGCATCTTCCTTGACTAAATATGCATGTTACTTACTGACTTTTATTTTGTTTTTGCCACAGGAAGTATTTCCACAGCTGCTGAGCCCCAGAGCACAAAAGAAATCCCTACCTATGTAAATGGTTGAATTGAGGACACCAACATCTGTATCTAAAAAAAGGAGATCTCACTGCATTTGGACTTTTTAATTCTTCAGATGACAAAGGGTTTTTAGCTTTAAGCCTGTGCATGTGGACATTATACTGAGACCATAGTGGAACTGCATTGTACAGGTGTTCAATTTTAGTGGGGGTGGGGGGAGAGGAATTGGTACCACTATTCACCCCTGCGGCCCTTCCCCTCACCCTTTCACTCTCTTTTTTCTGATCTGTCTCTAATTTGTAGAAAATTCATAATGATATAGGCCAAGAATATGCATGGGGGGGGGGGGGGGGTCTCTTCTTTAGGGAGAGGGGTGGGCTGGGATGTGGGGGGAGAAGGGCTGGGGCAGTGGGAGGTGGGAGGGAGTGTTTAGGGTTCTTGGCTTTAGGTTTAACTGCTCTTTTAGCACTTTGGGCTGCGGGAGGGGTAACCGCTCCAGCAGACTTCTGTAGGACACACACACACACACAGAAAAATATCACACTGGAGTTTTAAGGCACTGAAAATATTCTTGGTCAGTCTGGTTTATCTCTCTGTTTGGACTCTGCCCTTCGTTCCTCTAGCTGCAGCTGCTGCCCGTGCCCCACCCTGCGAGGAGGCTGAGTGTGAGTGTGGGTGATGCCAACTGCGAGGCCAGGCTCCTTCCTCAAGAGCTTTCCCAAGGCAGTGCCATGGGAGGGTAATGTTCCCTCCTAACCCCGAACAGAACAGATCAAGCATGCATTACAGGCAGGAGGTTATTGCCAGCAAGAACTTACTGAACTTTGTGCCAGCCTTACACCTTCAGTTTTGGCTGAGAGAAAGCAACACCCTCAGCTCTGTGTAGTGCTGATGGCTGAATTTGTCTGGGGAAGCCCCAGGAGATCTCTGCCTTTTCAAAGTCACCCAAAGGCCTGTCAGGCTTTTGAAATGCACCTTGTCCACAGAATAGGGAGCAGGGAAAGGTCTGTGCACAGTTTTCCAATGGCTTTCTTTGGCACCCCATTGGTTGCAGATCTGTAAGCTCCTGCCACTGTGGGCAGAGAAGGGAGAATTTGGCTTGAGGTTGTTGCCGTGCATTTTGAGCCTCAGTACCACAGGACCACTCTTACACAAGATTTGAATTCTTATAAATAACTTAAGCTTGTATTTTACCCTGCAAGTGGAAATGAGGCCTGTAGGACACGTTCACACTGGCTGTGAAAGGGAACAGCAGGAAAGTAGGATTAGCACATCTCAAACAAGTCCTCCAAAGACACTGGTTAGCTGTGTGAAGCCTAGCCCATGGTCATTACAACTGTTGATTTCCAACCCAACTCAGGTAATTAAACCTAGCACCAGGATTTTGGTTTGGAGTGTAAAGACAGAAATACTGTAACCAGTGTACACTTGACTAACTCTATTAGGTGGAGAAAAGTAGAGGCCAGCTCATAATCAGTGAGGCATTTTGTAGGAGGCACCCTGATTGCTGACATAGGTGGGTTTTGTTCAGTAGACATTGCCCATGGCAGCCTGAGTCAAGACCAGGAGAAATCAGCATGGTAAGTGTGGCCCAGAGTCCCAGGGCAGGGATTTGGTGATGGTGGCTTTGAATTTCTCAGTCACAAACTGGGCACAGACCTAAATCAACCCACTTGCTGGCAAAAAAAAAATGGTACCAAGGACATTAGGCCCGTAGTAGTTAAAGGATAATCACAGTACAGAGTCCTCTGCCTCCTTCTGCAGTTTCTCTGAGGACTGGTAGAAACACAGCAGTTTGTATGGCTTTGCTATTATGTTTGCAACTACAGCTTTAAGAAAGATGGGAAAGTTTTGGCTGCAACTGTATAATAGTCCCCACTGAAGTCCAACATTAGCCAACTTATTTTTATAGTAAGCCAATCAAAAAGTTTTCTTATAGTGTTGGAACTATTTCTAATTTTAAAATTACTTTTTTTGATGTACTTTTTCATCTTATTTTTCCCTTTAGTTAAATACAATGTAGCGTAATGTATAATTGCTATTGTTTATTGCTTTTACAGTCATATTTATTAAACAGATTATGTCTCTAAATGAAGGTCTATGGTTTTTTTGCTCATTCTAGCCTCTATCCCTGATAGGTATCAATAACAGTATTAAAACAGGAGGTAGTTGATAACCTAAAGAAGATATAGATACTCACAAATGGGGCAAAATACAGTTCCTAGAAGCAAGATGCCAATATAAAGGTAACTTTCTCACTCCCCAATTTTTATGCTTTCCAAACAAGCAATGGCTCTGAGCAGTTCCCTGGAACTCCATCTTCATTTCCTGTCCATGCTTATCCTTCCCCATACAATCTCTGTTAAATGTTCCTTTAAAATATATTTTTTTGGCTCTGCTTCTGCCAGCACTGATGAAGGAAAGTCTGAATTATTAGCATTACTGATTAATTTACATGTGAATAAAATGAAGCCTAGGAAGTTTCTGTCAGCTTGCCATATGGTACTGGATGCTTGTTCCTGAGAAAAAAAGGAAGAACACAGAACTCAGGATGCAGCCACCTCTTATAACAGGTTCAGTGCTCTTTTCTGTACCTCAGGATCTGAATTTATGTGTGCACATAAGTGGGGTTTGGGTATCCTCAACAACCAAGGCTATGTTATGGCACAATACCAGTCCAGGAGTCCTGGGTTTTCTCATTGGAGGAGGGAGTAGTTTTCAGTCCTGGGCAGACCCCAGTGCAATTAACAATTATTAGCCTAGAGTGTTCAAGGGGACACTGCAGCCTTCTCCATTCAGGCTGGAATGGCCACAGTGCAGGTGACTCACTGAGGTGTGTGAAGCCTTAATCTGCTTTAATAGTTTAAGTACCCACCTGAATTAGCAGGCATCTGTTCTGGCCATAAGCAGTAAGTCTGATTTGGCAAGCATCTCTACAGCATTTTCAGATCATTCTCTTCAGCTTGTTGTGTGTCCTGAGGCAGAGACTGATTGTTATTTGTAGTTGTTTTCTGGTTTGTGTAACAACACAGTAATTCACTGCTAATGGATGAACACTGTGAGAGTAAACAAAGAATACAAAATACTTACAAAATCCAATATGAATTTTCTCTGAGGATGTTGTCTTCACTTGAGGGAACAAAAAAGTTCATCATTCTTTGTCAGAAGGACTAGAGAGTTAAAATATGATTAAAAAGTCAAATAAAGTATTTTCCTGATTCGATGTTGATTCTCTACTGCCATCTTAACATACAGATGAGACAGACATTGTGGCTTCAGAGAAATTTATACTTCTCCACCTAGAAGGACATTTGAGCAAAGCTGCTGGATTGCTTTTCCTGAAAATCAGTAGTTATTGGTGTTCAAATACTTTTGGGGATTTGGGCCTCAAACAATTGCTTGCTCTTAATATGTGACTATTTGATTGCTTAAACTCTTTCTGAAAAGCAGGACTCTTGAAGTACTTGCTAAAGTGCTTATGCAAATGAAGCAGGAATTTCCAGTGACCCTGAATGAACCCTGTCTTCGTCCTGTCAACTTCTGCTAAGACTTTCTGACAATTGCATTTAGTGTGGTACCCAGAGCTGATAACAAGGGATTAGTATTTTATCTGTGTGCTGTCACCTCTCATTGAATGCATGACAAATTTCCTTGTCACATTATATCTCTAGGTACATTCAGTGTTTTAAACATTACCCCTGATTGCAGAGCTACCATGTTCATGGTGTTGAAAAAGAAAACTTTATTTTCCTTCAGTGAATGAGATGCTGTCCCTGCATTTCTCCATGAAACAGAATCATAAAGCATGGGAATAAATAATACTTGAGCTAAAACAGATCCTTTTATTTTGAGTGTTGCTATGATCTTGGCCATAATACCCAGAAGAAAAGACTGAAGTCAGATTGTTTTCTAATTGATAAGATCAAAGTGCTATCATGTACCAAGTCATTAGCCTAAGAGATATATTTCATCTGCAGTTTTAACTTTAGCTTTTTCCTTTCCCTTTTTTCCTACTGGAGATATGGCTTTCTCTTGCTGTGCTGAAAGAGGGATGGAAATGAGATCTGTGTTGTATTTTTCTCAGTGTGAGGATTTCAAGATGTATTCCTTCTTGTTTGCATCCAGCCTGTGCTAGGTGCTGCGTGCACCTTGGCAGCAATTGCAGGTTGGGTCTCACATTGTCATCTTGGGGCATTTTGGTGAGTGGACCTCAACCAGACCTTCTCTACACTAGAGAAAATAAACAAGAATCTCAAAGTTTTGACTTTTTTTGATGGAGAAGCCCTGAGAGACAAAGGTTCAAGAGAAGGACTGTAGCAAAACCCTTGAGAAGAGAGGCACGATTGCCTGCCTTTGATACAGCACAGATGCAAGAAAAAACCTTCCCTTTATGAAACAAATTCCTCCTCCAGCCTTTCCTAACCAAAGCTTGGTGTGGTGACATTTCTGGGGCTGCAGCTACCCCTGCAAATAATTGCTCCCCAGCCCAAGAGCATGGGCCACTGGTCCCATGGACCTCGTCATTCCTTTTTGTGCCCCCCATGAGGCAGCTGTAGGGCAGAGCTCTGAAACAAGAATTGGACTGACAGCTGCCTCTGCTCTGACTGCTTGCTGCTATGAGATGAATAATGCATGCACCACATTTAAATGTAATGTCACTGTTTGCGGGGAGAAAACCTTCACTGTTAACCCTGCCTGCATGAGAGGAGCATCCTTGTTGGATTCCCTGCAGTGAGGGGCTGAACCTTTGTCTCCACCCCAGAATGGTCTGCAGCACATCCCCATGGCCTGTCCTTGTGGGCTGCACTCCAGGCTGAGGGTCCCCCCTGGGACTGAGGCAGTTTCAGTGCAGAGTCCTGCTCTTGACATTTTGGCTGGAGCTGAAACTTCCTTCACCTGTGAAGCAGACTGCTCCCTTGGAGTGATCCCTGCCTGATGTCACATGAGGTGAGTGGATGGGATTCAGCACTGTTGAGAACTGGATGGTGTATGCCATGTGGAATATTTACTCCAGATATTTCACAGCAAGTAACTTTTTCCCACTTTCCACACTTGCCTAGTCCCACACAGAGTGTGAGATTCAAACTGTAATCATCCTTCATGCTACCCTGAAGCTATAACATGTCTAGAGCAAAAACCTGAGGTTTCTTCCATTCCTTCTGTGGCCTTGTGAGTGAGGTGAAGCTGTTTGGTCAAAGCTGCAATGCCCTGAACAGCTGTACCTAATGTCTGTCTTTGGAAAGTGCTTTCTCCAGAGGTCCAGAAGAAGCCATAATAAACCTAGAGCCAAAATCTTCCCTCAGCCCCTGCTGCAGA